AAATCGAGACCTTTTAAAACAAACTGTAATTAATGCAGGATGGAAAATTTTTCTCTTAACTTCTTTTTCCTCTGAAGAGTGAATTAACTAATTTTATCACCAAAGGATCAAAGAACTATTTATCATTTAATCTGCTTTCAAATATCAACTTCTAGGATTTTTTGCTAGCCCTTTGATAACATATCATTCTTTCAAATATCATCTTACCTAAGTAATTTTGACAATCAGCAGAGAAACTTTTTTGTCAATCGAAAATTGGATTTTACAAATAAAAAATTAGAAAAACTGGTGAAGTAAAATGATTTTGATATTTCTTGTTTCAAATTTACAAATTTTTTCTCGAAGAATGACCTTTTCCTGTTAAGATTTACTTTCGCGTACCAAGTAGTGGTATTTTGTGTTTTTAATACTGATGAATAATCTAGAAAGTGCATAAATGCTATGTAGATTTATATTTCTTTACATTCAATTAAACTTGTACCTTCCAATACACATCAAAGTTTCTAATTTAAAATTATGAGGTATATAAAATTATACGTTGAACAGAAAATATACCCTTTTGAAATCCAATGAGCGGTTACAAGGTCTACTTTAAAATGACAGGAAGCCTTTTATTTTAAAAGCATCAAGCGATTTTATTGAAGTGACGAGGAATGAAAGTTCAATGTTTTCACCCTTTTTTCACTTTATCAGGAAATTTAATGAAATCAAAGTCGGGAAAAGTTTTATGTGAAATTCTCGAACCAACCACATTTAATTTTGTATATCATTTTCAGTACTTAACTAAGTTTACATATTGGTATTTCTGTTACCTTAGATTATCACTGCAAATACTTACTTCTTAATTCATTTTACATCATATTTGACTTTCTTTACCTCACTTTACTTAATATTTGACATTAAATAATCAAAGTAAATTTAATGGCTAAAAAGATTTGAAAAATATTCTTACCATTAAACAAAAACAACATTTTTTACAAAATATGAAAACAACTGGCGAGTATTTTTTTTTTATGTCATTTTCTCCTTCACTGTAATTTATTTTTCTTAATTCAAAAAATTATTGATAAGAATGAGATTTCCAAGTTTTTTAAAATAGCGCACGATTCAAAAGTGAAGTTTAAACTGGTTGGGCTATTCTTACCTTTACTTGTTGTTCGGTCTGTATTTCTCCAGTCACCAGTCATTCTCAAATATCAACTGATATAATTAACTATTACTGTTGCATTTTCACCTCTTAACTTTAGAATATTTAACAACAATAAGAGCAAAACATGGTCGTTGCATAAGAAAAGGATTGAGTAAATGATATGTTCGGATATTCGAATTGAATAAGTTTTAAATAAAGAATAAAAAGTCATTTGCATTAGATAAATGAAATGATGAGTCTGAATAATGACATACATGGGTATCCCTCCTTAAATGAACTAAGTGCTCACTGATACCAATTCTTCAATTTTTATGTATTGTTTCTTGAAATGTCAGCAAAGCAGTGGTGACAAATGACATAGACTATATATATATACTTTGATTACCATTCCTTTATTTCATTTAAATGTTCCATTTTAGAAAATTAAAATTGAAAAATTTTGCATGAAATTTGTGTAAATTCACTAGACTTCTTTCTGAATTTCAATAAATTTTTTCAATAAATTTATATTTTGTTGCAAATATTTCTGGTACTAATTTAATTCTACGAATTGCAGTGAAAATGATTTGTCAAGTGATTGGCTTATTTTTTCTGAAGAAAAGCAAAATTCAATTCAAGAAATAATCTGTTCGAAGTTACCCTGTTGTTTGAGAACAGTTATATTTAAGTAGAAGTGATAATGTACTCAGTTCCACTTGTTATCATCGTTCGGTTTGATTATCTAAGCTATTATTAGAGATTAAGTGAAAAATAGATATCACAATTCTCGTATTATAGATGAATCTATGTTCTGAAACATACAGTCCGAAATCAAACGATGGAACGAGAAGCATTGTTAACTCATTTTGCAAGATGCAAGATGCGATGCAGTCTGCAACATATAAGCATATCTTATATTTTTCCTTTTTACTTTTATGTTAATAACTTGAAATAAAATGAAGTGAGCTAGAAGATTACTGAAGGAGTTTTAATCTACTTTTTTTTTCTCATATGTTCTATTGAAAATAGGAATTAAAACATTTTAGTGAAAATTTTGCAAAACTAAGGTGAACTTCGTTGCTTAACCGACGGAAACTAATTAATAATTTAAAATCTAGAGAAATAAATAACTACCAAATGAATAGTGCTTCTCCACTTTAGTATCAAAATGTTTATGTTAAAAAAGTCACCTATTCATAGGACAACAGGAATACTTCCCCTGTGTTGTTTGTTATCTTTTCACCTACTCATATATTAATTTTGTGACGATAATTTCTCCACTAATTTTTTATTCATTACTAAGAAAATTAAAAATATATGAGCAGAGCAGCAGTATTTGACAGCTTTACAAATGAGTTTCATGAAAATCTAATCTGCGCTGAAATTTTTTTTTTTTTTGCGCAATACACAGCAACTAAAACTGTTTGAAAAAACTTCATACTGAATTTATTCTATGCAAACATGAAATTTTTTTTAATTCACTGATTTGTATCAGTTGTGATAATCAAGAAGATGCGGTATTTGTTTCAATTCATAAACCTTCAGAAGACGATTGAATTTTTCTTTTTCAGCGCTGCAATAACTGTGAAGCAAATAATCTGAAATTTACTATATAATGACAACAGTTTATTTATTTGCTGGCACATTGCTTTTACTTGTACTTCTCGTCAGGTAAGAATTTTTCGTTAATTATTGAAGTGAACCACTTGAATTTTTGAATAAGTTATAAAATCCACACCTGCTTGAAATCTATCCAAAACCGGAATTTCATAATTTTCAAGCTATCTCAGAACCACCTTTTTTTGACAAGAAATTTAAAACTGAAGCAATGTGCAAACGGATCGCACCAGACGATCAAATAAAGATCTCGAACAATTTGCATCGGCTATCAACGGTGCTCTGAGGTTGCGCTACGGGAAACGATCACATGACTCTGAGCTGTTCAATAAAATCATCCTACCGCAGTTAGTTGAATCTATTTGGTCTGTCATCTAAATATCAGATGTCATATTCATAACATTGCTAGAATGCTGACTCGAATGCAAATATAAACTGTATATTATGAGAGATATGAATTAAAATAAAATAATAAAAGCAAAACGCCTTGAACTTTAATTTGAAGAAGCTATAAAGAGAAGTGAAGTTTCTAGCAGTGATCGGTCTTATGGATGCTAGTGCAGAGTAACTGAACAATCTGCCATCTGAGAATTATCATATCCTTCCGTGAAAAATTTTGTCTAGCTTTTTGAAGCTTCTCAATAGATGAACATGAATATTAGATGAAAATGAATGGTTTAGTGATGAACATCAAATAATTTTGTTGTACAAGTAGGAGGAAGAAATTCTGATCGGAAAGAATTCCGCAGTTTGGTTATATAAATAAGCCTACAGTCTGAGAAATAAGTGAAATCGTATGTCTAACACAATAAACTGCAAACTTGATAGCAATGAAACTGCCATTATTACCCGAGGATCAATATAATTTGAAATTTAAAATGGACACTTCTTGAATTGATTTCTTGACGGAAGTGAATTTACAGAGAAGAAAACAAACTTTCACCACTTGCTGATCGAGTTGTTGCATCACTGAACGAAGCAGAACGACTTAGGTATGCTAGCAACTTTGATGAAAATTTAAACTGTAAAAATCTCAAAAAATTTTTTTACAGCATTCAAAGTAAAAAATGTGACATGAATGTAGAATTGATTCAAAGAATTTTAGGATATTTAATGCACAAGAAGAAACAATTTCAGATTTGGCTGAAATTAAAATAAAATGTTTGGAATGGCTCAAATACAAGCCGATCTTTTTATCACCATTATCAAACCGTTTAGTGATCATCGATAGCATTCTGATTTGATGGTAAAAACAAAGGTTATGTCATTCTATTGCAAAATGTATTTTGTTAAAATTGCCACCTGTTAAGCATACATGGGAGAGGAATAGGTAATGAGTTGGAGTGGAAATGAACAGACCTTATCAAAAAGCTTCTTAAGAAGCTATCAGTTATTTTATGTGTCCATCAATCGATATATCTGTTGCTGAAATTCGAGAGCAAATGTAGCAGCACTTTCTATTACAACTGTTATTTAGAAAAGTCCAGAAAAGAAAATGCATCCTTCTCGTTATACCCAGTACATTTAATCCTATTTTTAAATTACTGACTTATTTTCATACCTACATGGATTCTCCTTCCTACGTTTAACATCTAAAACTTTTCAAATTTTTTGAAAATTCTCTACAGTTTTAGCCTAATGATTAACATTTTCACTATATGCTTTATAAACCATATTGTTTTACATGCAATTTACCACTAAATAAATAACTAATAAAATACGAAAATTCTGGAAAATGAATTCATAATGCTTACGGAAACTTATCTTTAGTGAAATTTACCGACCTAATCTCATATGAAAAGTTCATTGCAGACATATTCTATCAAGATTCGATAGTACCAATTACAATGGGGGAACTGATAGCATCATTTATTGGCAGCATAATCATAAAAAAATACAGTTCTGTATAGAATAAATTAGATAAAGATTCGAAGACAGACCTCGAGGACACAAATGATCAAAACAAAAAGACTTAATATCTCATGGAACTGTCTTCATGATGTCGAGAATGGAGGTCTTTCATAAGATTAATTCCATTAAGCAAAAATGTCAGAAAAACTAATTCGTAAAATATTGCATCATAGCATGTTTCAATACATCTATAAATGTGTAATTAAAATTTGTTTAAAATAGAAATTTTAAAAGTCTGAAAATAAAAGTAGATGCTAATTTTACTAAGAAATGCACATATAATCATCACTTGCATGATTCATGCATGCATGCATATGCATTATTATGCTGATTTTCGGTGACATCACAATTGTGGCACAGTATGATTCTGTTTTTTCATTAAGGATCGATCCAAACTGAAAGAAATAACTGAATAAACACGCAACTGATTAATTTGTCTTTATATCTTTATTTTTTTGCATTTAATAAATGTCACTTTATGACTAGAGGCAACATCAGACAAAATTTCTCTTAGAAATTTCAAGCATGGAGGATGAAAACCGGTCATTTGTAATATTAACTTTCCAGTTGAATGATGAATTCATGGAAAGGACTGGGTGGTACTATAAGCCTTTTTTCGACGAATGTCAATGCACAGTTTTGACCGACATAGCTTTGTAATGCCAACATTTAACGTTCCACCGTCCATTTAATTGTCCTAGTGCACATAATTTGTTCATGCTTAATTATATATATACAGATAAAGTATTCAGTTTACACTTAAACAAAGCTTCTGAAGTGGTCTCGGTCGGTTAAGGAAAAATCTTGGAATTAAATTTAATTGATAAAATTTGATATATTTGACTGACTTTTTTATAATTTCATCATAAAATTCTGTAGGCATGAGTGTTAATGTGACTGTCATTGGGGCATCATCCAAACAGGATTTAATCGCTTTGTTCTGAAATGAAAATGGATAAAATTGGAGCAAGTTATCCAAAAAAATATTATCTCATGTAAAAATGATCTAAAATACAAGATATTAAATATATATATATATTTTTATAAGATATTTATTTTTTAATCGCTATATAAGATATTTTTATAAAATATTTTTAATCGCACTGAACACATTAGAATAATGTTATAATTCTGCTCATATCTGTTTTGTATAGACCAATTTTATGTATAGACCAATATAAAATCTATAAATTCTTTCCATTTGCTAATCATTGTCAACAAAACAGCCGAGGTTAAAATTGGTCTCTTATTATCAAATTTTAAAAGAGAAGACCAATAAATAAATAGATAATCAAGCTTTTATATCGCAACTGAATGATATAAGCAAGTTTAGGTAAAGTTTTGGATAAGTTAACCTTAAAAGCCATCACATTTTGTCCATCCACTTCAATGATTCGTTGATTGATAAGCAATCCATTCCGACTAGCACTTGATTCCTGCATCACTGCTGTGATAAGATTATCCTTAAATGCGAATCCTAACAAGCCGTTTACATCTTTATGTAACGTTATCGTTCTGGCTAGCGGCCTAAAGCGAATATATAAAGGACCTGTAGAATTTTAAATAATGCTCTGAATCTTACAATACATCTTGAAAACTTTAGTGTCAAAGAAATTATGAATGATTTTATCACAATAATAAAGATAGCACGATTATATATATTATCTGAATATTCCGAATATGCTATGATCAATATTAACCGAATATTCTATGAAATTATTTGGAAGAGTCTTCTGTTGATTAAGTCATCGAATATTTCAAATGCGTCATGTGTTCATGCCTCTGATAATAAATTAAATATAATTAGCTTCATTCCCTACAAGGACTTCAGCAATGTTTTTGAAGTGAAGTTCTGCAATCAATAGATGTATCTGCACTGAAAGCTGTTGTCGTTTTTAACACTACGGTGAATAAATTATTAGGTTATCGGGGAGATTGATTATGGCAACTACGATCCATCGTTTTCTATCCTTACAAACCGCCATTTTATATTCTACAATTTTTCCAATTTTTTAAATATTATTATAACTATCCTGACGTCTTTAAAATAATAAAAAACTAAAATTATCAAGCAAAGATGAAGAAGACCTATCAATCTATCACTTTTATCAGAAGACTCCTTAGAATAGACTGTTTTTTAAAATTATTAACACTATGAAAAAAAAAAAAAAAAAAACACTGCTGGAGACAGAGCAGGAGAACCACTGTTATCTGTTTTAATGAGATTCCGAAAGGATTTTGTTTATAATTTCATTCTTATTTCGTATTTTTGACAATGACTATTTTCAATGTCAAGTTAATTGTATGTACCTGTCTTTGAACATGAGAACCACTTCATGTTTTGATTTCTTCATTATATCCATTACCTGAAAACATAAAATTCTAAAGATTATCATAGAATAAAATTATTTTTTGACATTATCTAAATTTTAGGAGAACATACTTTTAAAAAAAATGCAAATAACCTTTTGTCCGCTCATTCCAAGAACATCGGTGCCATTTAAGTTAAGCAGCTGATCACCAAATCGGATACCAGCAGCTGCAGCTGGAGAACCTTCAGCTACCAACTGGACAAAAACTCCCTGAAAATACTCGAACAAATGATACTCTCGCAACACTTCACGTATATAATATTCTAAATGAAATTTACAAGACAGGGCCACTTGTGTAGATCATCTCACTTATAAAAAATTCTGGAAATTTTTAAAAATTAATCTGAATAGCTAACATTCAAGAGTTCATATCGAAAGTTCACTGGCTACTTGTCAACTGCATTTGCCCATCAGACTGTTTCGGATTAAAACCCTTAGGAAAATATGGAATCTTGGGAAGTATGAATGATCAGCATATATCAAAGTTTTATTCTCGACTGAAAGTTCCTGCAGTATAAATCTTTTGCTGTGTAATGGTAAGAGTTTTTGATGGAAGCAATAACCTGAAAATCAGATGAAAATACCTGATTGACTGCCCGCATCCTCACTCCGTACTTTTTACCTTTAGTACGGTTAAGGATCACTTTACGAACACCATGTGTAAGGTTAGCTTTAATAAGGCCGGAACATTGTGACGTGATCGGTGCGACAATGCGATCATTCTCTAATAAGGTCAAGCTATTTGACATATATTGTTGAACTGCTATTGATTGAGGGAGATGAGGATAGGGCAGACGTGCTGTCGTTATTTCTGGCAATTGAGCAGATGGTTTCTGGAAAGAAAGGGAAATTTTAAAAGATCTTCAAATCAAATTTTGATTTTTTTGAAAAAAAGCTGGCAATTTAAATCTATCCTAGAACTTCAAGAAAAAATAATAATTAGTGAACAAAAATTAATCACTGACAATCTCCAAAGACAATACGCCATTTTATGACTGGACAAAATCTTCAATCTATCCCTTATTGATCATATGTTGAATAGAATTTTTTAAAAGATTAAACCTTACAAGCACAGATGCATGCTGCGTTTGGGCAATGCTTTCATGATAAGATGGAAGCAATGGATATTCTAACATTTCTTTTGGAGCTGCAATTTGGGGAAGATTATTCAAGACAAAATCCAGGCTTTTCACAAAGATATACTTCAGTCTTTTACTTCAAAAGAAATTTGAAATACGATACATATTTGAAATGCACTTCTCACAGTTTAGTTAGTGTCTAACAATAATTAGTAATTCTCGACTTCCTTAAATTGACATGAATCTGTCTATTTTATGCATCCTTCCTATGTAAAAATATTAACAACATATAAGTCAATTTTGGACAACTCTTTTATATAGACTAAAAAATATTCTACGGGTCAAGTGTCTCTATCTTATCTTTGTAGTATTGCTTTTCCTTCCTCCTCTGTTTTTTATCAAATAAATTTATAAAAAATAGGATTTATCCAAATAAAGGCTTAGAAATACAGTGTTAGAAGTTAATTTTCATCAAATTTTTCCCGGAATGTGCAAGTATTACTTTGTGATCAATGAAATATAAAAGTGGAAGAAATTGAGATGGTTTGTATAAAAGATGCAAATGACTTAATCATGCGGAAATATCTCTCCAGTGAAGCAATCATCATTAATTAAATTAAATTTCGAACACATTAATTTCCAAAACAAATTATCTTCTACGACACCCACCATTAGATGTATTATATTCATTCACACCAAAACAAGTAAATGAAAGCTTTGATCCAAGACATTAGAAAGATAATACTTATCAATATATAAGATCAGCGAATTAAATGAACCTGCCGATATGATGTTCTCATCAACTGTCTCGTAAATTTGCCCTGCTGAAAGTTTAGTTCAATGAATTTTACATTAGATATGAGTATATTTCTAGTAATTCCATTTCTTGCTTAATTTCAAAATAACACAATTTCTTTTAAAAAAAAAAGTATTTCATTGTGAGTAACATTTCAACTCTTTCTTATTTCTTCATTTCTTTTTTTTTAAACTGATTACAATTCTCCTAAATTAATTCAATGTACCTTTTCTGTTCGTACCTTTCAATAATACTTAAAATGATGTAGTCAAACATGAAATTAAAAAAATAGAAAAGTAATGCAGAACATTAAGATCACATCCTCAGTCAATCATAAAATCATTTGTTTTTGAATAAGTGATGAATAAGTATCAATGAAATTCAACTGTTTTCTCCAAAAAATGAAGTTGACTTAGCAATATTTTCTGACATTCTAATTCGGAGAACATTGCCGTCAATTGAAGCTAAATTGAGAATGCAATTCCAATTAATAAATTAAAATAAGATACAGCCTGTTCTCTTTTATGGTCAGAGCATTTTCATGAGTGAATATTTTACAAGCAGTAATGACAGAATGACCCTTACTACTAAAGTATTTGACCTATTCCCTTACTATTAACAGTATGTGACACATCTCTCATCACTCCATCCAAATCAGCACTACAATCAGATCATTCTTTTAAACAAATAATTTGTAATTTAAATTTAAGTCTCGAAACTTGGAACTGTTCACGAGAATGATAAGATATATTGAATTACTCACGGATGGGAGCATCTGATTCAAAGACAGGAGCGGATGGTTCTGCGCAAGAATGGAATGGCTGAGAACTGTGGTCTGAGCAGCTGCCATACTTCTGCAAATTATTTCGAAATTAACAATTTCAAATAAAATTTAACAAAAATTGTGCGGTTTCTTTGAGCAAATGATTGGAATAATTGTTAGATATTAGATAAATTTATCTGATCTATTCCCTTAGTACAAATCGTGTTGGGCAGTTCGGATTAGAGGTCACCTATTATATGTTTTAGTGAAGTAGCATAGAAAGCGGAGATATTTATCAACGATGGTAAATTCATGCTCGACATTACTATGTATTTATAAATACGACTGTATAATTTGTTCATTTGCTACTTTTATCAGTTTCCTTAAAAACTTTCTAAAACTCTCCCAGGCTTACAGAATTAAGTTGATCAAATTTTTGAACAAAAAGTTCGCCATAATTTATTTGTTTTTTTAACAAATACTAAATTACAGCGGAAATTGGTATTCGACAGGAGTAATTACAAGTTAGAAGAAAATTTTCATTCATTAGTTCTGATTTTGTTCGAAAATTTTGAAAAAAGAAAAAAAAAATTTAAATATTGCTGTCATATTTTGTTAGTTACAGTATGGAGCATTATGATGGTGAAAGATGTTTAATTAAATTAATTCTTTACTATGCTCATAATTTAGTCATCAGTTCACGTCAATTTTAAAATCGTGAATTTCCAAACTGTTAGGAACAAGGAAATAAAAATATTGTCACCTGATATTCATATTGATCAACTAATAAATCCTCAAGGGTTGGATATAACGGCATTTCCTGTAAGTAAACTAAAATGTGATAAACACCACTGGTTAAATGTTTCTGAAATTATTCAGCGCAGTTCATAAAATTTGGTGAGACTATGAAGCAACAAAAAAAAGTTGAAAAAAGCTTTTCTAGATTGCATCAAGATTGACCAAAGAAGTTTGTCTTACCCTTCCTATCACCTTGGGAATTGCAAAACACAATCAAACCTATCAGTCACTAAACAGATAAGTCCTCAATTTGAATTTGCATCATGTATGATCTACTTAATACCCACATACCTGATCTTCTATTAAAGCATCCAAAAGTGCATAAAATATACATGACACTAATAAGCGCTTTCTCAACTGAAAAAATTTTTTAAAATTTATGAAAAAAGAATTTTAAATTTCGAGAATGTCAACAATTTTCAGTGTTTCGGATGACAATGACATTTTAAATTAAGTTTCAAAAAATTTTTGAAGCAACTGTTCAGAGAGCAGTAATGACAGGGACAACAAAATGAAACAAACTCGAGAATCGGTCAATCCGACCGCTGAGTTAATAATTGGAAGCAGCTGTCGGATCCGACATATAGTAGTAATAACTCACTGCGAAAACGACCGATCGACTAACTGCCCGATGCCAATTCAGAGAGACAATTTATTTCGAATCTGATCGTGGAGAGACAAATAAACATACAGAGAATGAGTAAGCAAGCGGAAGAACAAAGAGCAGTGGGTGAACAAATAATGAATGAATGGATAGTGGATTGATGGTTGGACGGATGAATGTGTTGTAGTGACCGATGACCGGTGACAGTCCACTCTGATCTGATCAAGCATTATTCATTTTCCATAAAACTACTTTGGGGATTGTGTTGGCGCAGGAAAATGTAAAAGAAGTATTTCAAGAATTGAACTTAGTTTTGCATTTGTCAGTGTTACAGCTTGTGGTTTTTTGTCTGAACATGAATTATAACTAACTTGAAGGACAAATTATTAGGTTACAATATATTCTTTACTCTTTAACTTTCATTTATCCTAAAATGAGTCTCTCTTAAAAAAAGAAATTGTGCATTATAATCGATCCAAAGATTCTTTATCATTAAGATATTTTATCAACAGCTAAATTAATTCAATTAGAAGTACTTTAAAGTTTAAGTAACTCCTCAATTATGAATATAGCAGATTAAATTAATTTTCATTTCACTAAAAATCGATCTGTTGAAAAACGAATAAAATTTTGTGAAGATCGATGGGGCAAATAACAAATAACAAAAATGTCAACGATCGTCAGCGTACAAATAACTGGAAAAAATTTTGTGTCATCTTTTATAGCTTAAAATGACAATCAAATGAAACTGGCAATGACAACGGTGGTATCGCTGTGGTCCGCTCTTTAGTGAACAAAACAGAGATATACCGTTTCAGTGAAAACTTCCAACATCCGTTGTTACTACTCACAGTAAGTAGTTTTTCGCTAAGCTAAGTATTGATGACTACTATTTTAATTTCTAAAAAATGAAATTAAGCAAACATCTGAAGCATTTCAAATTCAAAATTCCGAAAAAATTTTGGGTTTTCGAAGTTAAAAAAGAATCATATTGAATGTTGGTGACATAATTGTTGTCATATAATTTATAATTACTTATTTGCTTTGCAGATTCATTTTTAACAGCAGCAAGTAACCAGACCAATTAATTACAGTCAAGTATAGGTAAGGAATAGAAAATGAACTTAGATATACTGATAATCATCATTTTATGTAATGAATGTTGTTTATGAAAGAAATGAAATGAATTTTTATGAGCACATAAATGGAACAGATTTTGTGATGGGAAATAATTGCCACAAAAATTTTACTAAATTTTGTAATACTACCAACGAATTGATTGATTAGCGCAGGCAGTTCGATGAACACATGTATATACAAATATGAAATCGTTATGGTTGATTTATAACCATTTCTAAGTTCAAAGATAGCATTGCACTAATGTGATAGATAATTGCCTATAATGAACTAATTCTTAAACAAGGATATTCCCTGTATCTTGTGTTTCATTTGCTGAAATGTGTGGGATACAACACCTGGTTTACCTTATTTGTGTATTGGAAATGATAAATGTCAAATGTTGTGCTAATACTTTCTAATAATATATTGTGTTCTGGCCTTAGCAATTAGTCACAATTTGCGCTATTTTTTAGTTATCCTTGATGATAATCTTAAATATTATGTTGAAATTTCGGTTCTTCAAGTAAACTTCTCTTCGGTCATCATATTTATCGTTTCCTACTTCCCATAAATATAAATTACATCACTAGAAAATTTCACATCATAGCAGACCAATCAGCAGCTAAATTAGCTTTCATGAGCTTATTTGTTGCTTTACTAAGAGCTTTTAGAGCTCACGGCAAAGATGTACGTATAATTTCTTGTAACTTTTGTTTATTCTTTAAACTTCTCTATAGTCTACCTTTGTTCCATACAGCAATTGTTCATAGGTGTGATTCAATAAATTTCACCATGTTTGCTGGAATCATTTTTTCAAAAACAGCTGGATAACGTTCCAAAAAATTTGAAAGCCAATACTAATATCTCATCAAATATAAATGATATTGTTTTTGGCAACAAAGTCCAAAAATAATCTTATTCATTGCACAACATCTAATCATTAACGATACAAAAAAACAACTATCCTTTGCAACATTCTAACTGAACAGGTCTAAGGCCTTCGGAACATGGCTCACAATTTGACAAATTTACATCAGCTTGAGAAACCAATCCAATGTTGCCAGTTATCAATGATTTCCCAAAAAAGAAACATTTCAATAGAATTCTGACGAATGATAGAACAACTCTTTTCAGATGTGGTTGGATATATCATCTAACATTTTACTAGTTTTCCACAAATTAATTCACATAAAATAACAAAAGTAAAAGCAACCCGTTCTTGAAAAAAGGGAAATGAACATTATCGTCTGGCTAACTAAACTACTCATAACAGTTCCCTCAAACAGCACTTCAGCTTATAGATCGTTTAACGATATACAAATAAAGTGAACGACAAAACGAAACAGAGAACATTTCTCGAGATAATTTATTTTCGTAAATAATTGGAAGTATGGTTGGGAGGTTCATTTTTTTCTTACTCAGCTGCATTTGCAATTTCCACGTTCCAAGGAAGAGACTGAAAATATATATACGGAATTTATCTTTCAGAGAAACCTTGCTTCTGGTATAAATAGGAGTTTCCGTTAAATTGTTATGTCGAAAGTATTCCCAAAGAGTTAAAGCTAATCAAATTCGAGGTAGTCGCATACTTCACGGCATTAATAAAACGAGGTTTTGAATAAACTTATACTATAATAACCATGTCTAACATCATTCATAGTTTGCATTGTACAGAGACACGCAGCATCAAAGGCTTTTAAATAAAGTCTTCATTATTGGAATTATTAAAGTACAATTTAGTAAATTAAGAACAAAGACTATTCTAGACTTATAAAGTGAAACAAGAAACAAGGACAACTAAAATAACAAAACAGCAAGAAAAAACAATAAAGAAAAAAGAAACCAGATGATATAAAGTTATAAGCGTTAGCAGTTGTAAACCGAACCCAAAGACAATTTCATACTTTATTATTTCACCGAAAAACACATATATATAGTGTTGAAGAGTTGTGAATTATGTTATCTCACATTTTGATATTTAGGTTTAATATAAGTGCAATGCTCAAATGTTTAGTCCGGACGACTTGAAGAACAAATTCAACAACAGTACCTAAAATCCTTGAAAAGCACTAACAAACTGCCATTTTTTAGCTCTTAAAAAAGTAGTATAAGGGTAGAGCAAAACTAGTTGTCATTTTTGGAGAGTGAAACAAAGATAAAAGCGAAAGCGAACGACGACTTATTACATAAATAAGTCAAAAGCAAAAATATTCACGGGATTGTTTACGGGAGTCTAGTCATTTTTTATTTGCTAAGACAGAGCAGATATGTGAATTGAAATAACGGAAATGAATAAATATATGAATAATAAAAGAAATGGGATAAGCTTTATACGGATTATTAAATAGAATGATCGTTATTGATTGAGATACGAAAATATAAAGATGAGAGATTATAGAAAAAAAGAAGGTAGAATGGAAGTTTTTTCTTTTTTTAATTTTGGATTCCTTGTTGCAAAATTTGTCAAATATGGATTTATGAAATAGAGCATAAAAGAGGAATTATGATTTTAAACTTACTCACGAATTAATATCCACGAAACTTATTCAGTAAAATTCCGAAATCAATGAAAATAACCACCAACATAAAACGCAAGAATCTTCACAAATTCAAAACACGAAACGCATGAAGCATCATCAGATATCAAATTTTTTCAACAGCTCCACGCTGCGATAAATTTCAAAACCCGTGCATGCTATCTGCTTACCCACTGACGAATCTTTTGACATATCTAGAATTAAAAAAGATGCAGTATTTATGAAGTATTTTCAGTTCAAGCTTTTGAAAAAAATAAAAAAGGTCTCAGAAATGCACATAACGTTATGTCCTTTGTTTTGATTAAGTTATAAAGCACTGACAAGCTAGAAATCATATACACTACTTTTATAATTTATATTCAAATGAGTAAATGAATATTTTCACAATATTCGTAACCATATGGACAGAAGAGGATATATTAATTTCAACAAAACACGAATTCCGTGTTGAAATATGACTTACCAGTCAAATAAATCATGGCGCACTTTCGATTTGTATTTGCAATATGACTCAAACATTTCAACAATATATTCGCATCATTTTTATTTTTATCACATTCATGTGGTTTCATTGTTTGTATCACTTTCAGATTTTCATATTCCTTTATTATTTCTTCATAATGGGCATATTTTTCCACTATTTTCGAATCAGAATTCGACGAGGTACTTAAATAAGGATTCATGGTGTCTGATGTTTATTACCTTTACTTTTACTCTGTGTCTCCGTCATATCCAACATTTTCCTCATTTAAGCAGAACAAAGTTCGAAGGTTACAAATTTTCAAAAGTCAAGAAATAAATTTGGAAATTGAAATTGGCATTTTATCGGCAACAAATAATGTGCATTACACCATATTAAGAAGGTGTAACTATACGGCAAAAGTCATTGTCATACTTGTTAGACATGGGGAAAAGCAACAAGCAGAGTAGCTATTAACTAAAACTAGAAATGCTAGTTGGAGACAAAAATGAAAAGATTACTTTGTTATTGGATTTCGACTTGCTTTGTACTTGCTATAATTCTAGAATCTAAAGCCATAAACTGATGAAAATTAAATGATAATTATAAGACATAATGAGAAAAATATCAGCCAATAACAACCTATTAAAACAGTGGAAACAAAAACTTACCCATCCAAAATCAAAGCCTGCCTGAGATGTGTATGTAGTTTGACCCACCAGGAACTGGAACCACTTTCCCTCCAATTCGAAAAACGCTCCAGAATCATCCGGAAAAGCTTCGGATCCCTGCAAACAAAATGCGTTGTGCAACAGTACAATGAAGTAATCAAAACATAATCGAAATACGAAAGAGCATACTAAAAGTTTGAAGAAATAATTTTGGGGAACGAAAACAAAAGTTTTTGCCATTAAAATAAAATACATACAAAGCCCCAACAGTAAATTGAATATCATCGATCAGTAACACTCCTCGTCTTTGAAAGGTTACCGAAGAACTGCTACTCACAGCCTGAAAAAACGTTTTTGGGAAACAATAGCAAAAAGCTGTTGTTACCACTCTGTATAAACCCGCAGAAATAATTTGATGCTTTTAAGTTATCATAAAAATCATAAAAAATTATTTCTGTAAGATCTAAAACTGAAACTCTTACACCTCGAGCATAATACGGTTTCGATTGGCGATGAATAGTTGGTTGATTGAAAAATCCATACACGCGTGGATGTTTAAATCTAGCTGTATAGCTGCTGAAATAAAGCAACTCCATAAATTTAATTGCTTTTTTGGAAAGTTAAAAACCTACGTCGGAGTAGTACTACTGTATCGAAAGGATCCCGCGTAAGGAACGGAAGTAAGTGAAGAAAAATGATGCATGCGTAAGCGTCCAGTAGATTCATTTGTAAAGCTTTCAGGGGAATGTGCAGAAGTTGAAGGTCGAACTGCTGATGAAATCATACGATGATCAGTGTCGCCATTAGAGAATACGATCGGTGCTTGTATAACAGATCTTACATGATGCGCAGCTGATACTATAACCTATAAAGACGCTTTCCACACACTGTATCTCGATATATAAATCTCATTTCTTCCCAGCAATCATACTCCCATAGTTCAAAAAAGAAAAGGAAATTTCTTGAATGACTATTTTTTCCTTTTAACAGTTAATTCATTTTCTTTTTTTATCCCAAATCCGTAAATTGATTCACTCGACATTATCGACCTCCGCTCATCCTTTTTAATTTTTCATTCAAGTCAATTTTATTCTTGCAAAGCATTCCAAAAATAATCTATAACTTTGAATAAAAAAGTAAACAATCTAAATGGCAGTGAATGATTATTGCTCAAGCAATAATCTCAAACCCAAACCCATCCACTACATTATAGCCCATTTATATTTTCCTTGTTTCCAGACCAATTCATCATGAAATGAAAATTGCATAATAATTATCATTCCATGATAGGAATTTAAAGCATTAGCCGAACAAATGACAAAATACAAATGTAACATATCGATATACTTCTGTTTTATTCTGAGATATTCTACAGTCATATCTAGCTTCAAGAAATCAAAATCCATACTTCACGTGAAGTATCTGGAACAGTACTAACTGAATGAATAGCACGCATATCTACATCACCACTAGCTATCGATTCATTATTTGTTTTCCAGAATGATAGATCATGATCATCAACATCTGAGTTCGGAAAAACATTCCACTGGAAGTGTTGAGCAGGAGAATTTAATAACGAATCCTTCTGGAAAATAAAAAATAATCTCCAGGCAACACTTTTTATAAATATGAAATAACTATCCTACTACATAGGGTTTTCATCTACAAGCAAAAAACAGTCTGTAGAAAAAATATTTTTGCTAGAAAAAACTGACCTTTTCACTTTCAGCTGGATTTCTTTGAATGGAATGGGATGGAAATGAAACTAATTCAGGCAGGATGTAACTGAAAGTTTCACATTCAGTTTACAAAAAGCCGCAATTATTTAAAATTTTAACGAGTTCAGTTTCTCTTGATCTGACCATCAAAATATAAAATCAGTGTTTAAAGATAGGAAAACAAAGAATATTAAAATAAATCGATTTTAGCCGAGAAAAAACTTTCTATAACAGTTTGTTTTTTCGCCCAAGGCGATAAAAATTTTTTAGGATTACGAAAAATGAAAATCAAATCAATTTGTAAGTCAAATACTAATTTAAAACATGTACAACTCATAATTCATTGCAAAATTTATCACAGCAATGACAAGCAAAGATGAAAAGCATTGAATAACACGTAAATCAAATACTTCATAAACTGAAAGAACTTACGTGGGTTCATCATTGATAGCGAGATTTTTTTGTTTTTTATCAGTCTGAAACAACAGATACAATATGATGAAATTTCCTAAAATTTAACTGCCGACAGTGACAATTATAAAATAACTATAAATTGTCCATTTAATTGAAGTAACGCATGAAATAGAACTGATATTTCCTACCAGCGGTTCAGGATTCTTTACTGCTTCTATTGACGCTACAGCTGTAAACGGTGTAACTTCCGGAGGCTAAAAAATATTAATTATATTTATTACGAACAGTTAAGAGGTCAGAAATATTTTTTTAGGTTAATTTTGTTGCTAACAAACAAAACTAAACCATTTTTAGTAATATCAATATTCTGATTCATGTAAAGAATGAATTCTTCTTTAATGACAAATACATGAGGATGCAGAAGATAAACTACAACCAATTTTTTAAAAAAGAAAAAATTCCCACTTTTTTGCTGACTGTATTTCAGTAGATAAATAAGAATCTAAGAAAACTACCCGATACTGCCGTGCGGGCATTTGAAATGAAGCATCGATAGCCGACCTCATATCGTAATCGGAAATAATTTTTGGCGCAGTAGCAACGAAGACACCAGATTCATGTGGAGGACTAGCAGGAGATTCAGTACTATCCGGTTCACTAAAAAATAAGAGAGAGGTTTGAAAATTCAACATCAAGTTAAAAAAATATATCCATAGTAAACCAAGCATTCCAAAGTTTTCTACAGTGGTAATACTGAGCTGATAGCAGATAAGAAAACTATTGAACTGAGACAACTAAAACACACTGCAGCTTGAACAATGATAAAACAGAAACATACCTCTGATTTCTCGAAAAACTCCCGAGAAACGCCGTACTGTCGTTAACCTGGAAGTTTAAAATTATTTCCTGTCGGACCAAGTCACTGCTTTAACTTTCGTTGTAAAATTTATGGAAAACTATATACAGTTCGATTTTTTGAGAAATAATTAAGATTATGCCGTTTTGATGTTCTGGGCCTCAATTATTTGTATAATTAATTAAGAAAGTGCAGACACATCTGTTGAGAAATGATCAAAATGATGGTTCCAGTTTTCATGTTTCAATTCGAGCAAAGATAGACATACTCCAAGATTCGGAGAACTGTTAGACGGAGAACTCTGGGACTGCGAAACAGCTCTCGGTGACGATTCTCCACTGGATAACGCATCTGATGGCGAATAGCCACGGAAATCAATTGCAGGTAAGCCGAATGATGGTGTTGGCTGAAAAAAAAAAAAAAAAATTGAAATCTCAATGATCTGATAATACCTTGCAATGTTTCATAACTAAATGTTTACAAAAACTCAAAATTGCCTTTTTTTTAGTAACTGATTGTTCACGCAAAGAATTCCAGTCTGAAATCTTTCGTTCTGCGACTGAACATGATGGAATTGGCAAATCTCGACCATTGATAAGACGTTTTCTGGGATCTCTACTGATAAACATCTTTCCACGTCGAGGATTAGAAGAAAGTAATCGCTTATGCTTTGACACTGCTTCGTCAATTGAATGCGGTAAATTTGGCTTCAATTTTGAATCTGAGGTTGATATTGGCTGAAAAATTAAACGAAACTATCGCAGCTTATGCAGTCATCCTTATATGTAACCAAACAAAAATTTATGAATTTGAGAATTATTAATAATATCTACTCCAAATTGAATAAAAAAAAAAAGTATCTAAAGCATATGTCTAAAGACCAAATGCACCAAATGCATGAAATTTACCGACGATTAACAAAAAGAAACAGGAACTCCAATTAAACTAAAGTGACTACAGACAGAATGACAAAATCAATGAAATTTTATGCAAACGTACATGCTCTTTTAAGGAATTTTCCATCCCAGATTTTGAGTTCATACGCTCAACACGCCATCCCCTCTTCTCTTCATCATCGTCACTGTCTGCTATATCCATGTCAACCGCTTCTTCAATGTATAAGCAATATAGATGTTTTTTCCTTTCTATTCCTAGCATATAAATTCTTGCAAGCAATGAGGATATAAAGAGACATAATAGTAAAGGGATAATAATCTAATGATTCTTTATTCTTCTATAGCTATTAATCATTCTAGGCAATATAAAATTTACCGGAACTTGCATTCGATGTTTCTCCTTGAATCTTTAATTTGTTAGAATTCTCTTCCGAAAGTAAAGTTTTCTTAGCCACATTTCGTACCAGTTCTTGAATACGAACATCCAGTCCATCGATGCGCTCTTGAAGTAACAACGGCCTCATAAATTCATCACTGTAAAACATACTATCTATTAGATTAATTTCATACATTTATAACATAGCTGAAGCAAATTTCTTTCTGAAAAAAAAAAAAACAAACACAAAATTTTTACATCAACAATAAATACTTAGTAGGCCCTCGACAATTAAAATTCAAAATCTAAATCGCAAAATTAATGACTTCTCCTCCGTCGACATCGCTTCGAATGCACCGTTTATTAAAGAACAGTTCAAATCAGATGTCAAATATAAACAATGGAAAATATTGCCCGCTGTCTTAGGAAGTGTTAACAAATCACTAAATAATCCGTTTGGCAAAAGAATGAAAATCCCAACAGATGGAAAGATCGTTATACCTGCCTGAAAAAAAAAAAAAAACTATATTAGTTAGTTGGTTTTAGGTATGGAAACATTACACATTATTCAAGTCTTATTATAAGACGCCGAAAGTAATCAAATCAGTGCTGTAGAGAAGAGCTCAACTTGTGTCGCTTAATGTGTTGTTAACTAATGGTTTAAACAATCAAACTATCCTATAACATCACATGATTTGCTAGAAAGATCCATTTACAATAGATTATTTCAATAAATCACAATGACGAATCATTCTAGACTTCGTTAATTTCAACCGTTAATCGAAACAAGCAAAACTTGGACAAAAATAAATACAAAAATGACAAAAATATGGAACACTTGCCGCTTGCTTTATTCTCATAGATTCGTGTAGTAAAACAAAATCATGAGAATCATCTTCAGAAAATAATGTAAAATAGTAGACTAAACGTTGAGAATCGACCAAAAGTACCTAAAAAGATTTATGTAAGTACCATAATTACCATCTTCTGCAAAATTTGAACTGATTGTCTAACCTCTTTTTTCAAAGCGATTTCTCCAAGAGCTGGTGGTTTCAACAGTTCAAGAACCGGTGGAAAAGCCAGGCACGTAGTCCAACGAATGAAGTCGGTAACTTCGTAAGTGTCACTAAATGTAAAAAAAGAAAAAAAAATGCACTCCTCAAGATATTTTATTTAACAATGATTTATCTAACAAATATGTAAAAAAAAAAAAATCAATTCCCAATCAGAAATGATCTTCTGAAAGCATTTCATTAAGCACTTTCTAAACTCACATTAATGGTGGTTTAGTCGCTGCTGCTAATGAATACAGTGAAACACGACTATAACGCTTACTTCCAATCAATAAATTACCACTCCAAACAATTGAATCCGTTCCTTTGAAAGACAGAACACTGAAATTCACGAAAGTGAATAATGAAAACCTTTCCCTGCAAAAGTTTACAAACAGTTATATCCCAATCAATTTAATCTTCTTTGTAAAATAAGTAAGCAACTAATAAAATGCTTAAAAAGTTATTTGTATTTTGCACGTTTGTGAATAAAATACATCTCTTTCGTTCTCAATATGCTGACCTCCTATATAATTTTAACATCATGTATTAAGAAAAAAACTTAGTTAATCAAAAATTAATGAACATAATTACGTATTTGGGGGAAACTCGACGTCATATATGGCAAAAGGTAAAATATTTGCTGGCGATTTGGAATAACCAACTCCTTTCTCTTCAAACAAAAAAATCTGAAAAAAAAAATTCAAGTCAAGAACAGCTGTCTTAGACTCTACGGACTTTTAAATTAAACAGAATCAATCTTGCAGAAGGCAATTTTTTTTTTTAAAAAATAAAGAACTGGAAATTTAATAAGACCTGATCACATCGATAATTATCATGTCGCGATAATTTACAATCCATTGGTTGCATAGCTGAATGCGAATGACATCCTCGCGTAGGCAATAAATGATAAGACCCCAAACCAACAATATTGCATCTACCTTTCAAGATCTGAAAGAATTGTCATGGTGTGACAATTTATCACTACCAGGTTGCAGAACTGCAAGTAAATAACATCATTGTTTAGTTATTAAACGGCAAGATAAATAATAAAGCCTTGACAGTAATTGAAGATATGTGTAGTGAAAAGAACAAAAAGAGTCACGAATTAAAAAAATAGCGTTTACCTTGCACGCTAAAATCTTCAATTTGGTTCGTCCAAGAAATGGTGCTGGTGTAACTAAATCGGGGTGTCCCGACAAGTAAACACCTAAAAGTTATGCGCTCAAGTAAATGATCCAAAAATTAAGAATTAAAGTAACATGCAACATTTTCATATTAATATTTTAATATGTCTAAACTGTTATTATAAATCTCCATACAACAATATTGCTTTTTAATAATACTTATGTATTTGTTCTTTATCAATTTGCTTTCATACTGTTTAAGATAATAAATTTACCACAAAACTGAAAACCAGTCACTATTTCTTTCCAAACAGAAGTTTATTAAAAAGACAGTCAAACAAACTGTCTTTCAATCATCACATATGAATTTTAAAAATGAACTAACCATATGTTGGTTCACCCAAATCCCCCACGAAGTTATTGTTAACGCTGAGGCCCCACTGTGCTATCAGTTCCATCTGAAAAGTTAGAAAAATTAAGCATCCCTAAACCATTTATAACTGAGGCCAGAGTTTCATTTCAAATTAGCCAACAGAATTTTCTTTTAAATTTGTTTTTGTTACTGAAGACAACAAATGTTGTAATAAAAAAAAAAAACCTACATAGCCTATCCCAATTTCAAAAAAGGGAAGTGAAGAACGTTGTTCATTACTATATAAACACTACAAGGTGGCTTCTTTCATATGATTGAGAACTGACAGCTGACAGTGACAGCATTCTTGTAGATGGAAAATGTAAAACGTGAATAGAAATGACTCACTTCTCGCACATTATCCGAGAGAAGAGTGTATCCAAACGACACGTCAGCGGGTAACCGCTGCGATTCTAGCGAACGCCGAAAATTAGAGAACTGAAGAGAAAAAAAAAATGAATTCCTCATAAACTTCGTAATATGGCTTTTTCTTGCATAAAGTGGTAGAGTTTGGGTCACCAAAAAATACATAATGTAATATAGGTTCTTTAAAACTAACTATAATTTTACTTTACCACATCTCTAGGACATAAATATTGGAAGTGAAACAAGATCAAAACATAGATCTATTCGAAAATGTCTTTTTTTAATCGGAAAAAATAATTGTCACCCGTGTTTCCAGTTGTTTATTACTTATAATTCTACACCGGACAATTCTGATCGATTCCCGATCCTGGCAGCTGCTTGAAATATGCGATGAAATTACTTGCTGATATATATTTCGAAATGGTTCGCTGTTAATGGCAACATCGTTTACGCAATGCAGAGATATGTCTTCAAACGCGTAAATTGATTACAAACAATAAAATTGTGGTAAAATAGAGTTTAAGTAAATTCAGCACTTTAATGTTCAGAAAAATCTATTTGTATCGCAACGTGAAGCACAACTTATTGCAAAACATTTACGGATAATTTTTGTTAGATATAAAGCTTTTCGTAACAAATTTTCTTGAGCATACTGCTTTCGCAAGCTTGCTTATTTTATTTCAAATGATCTATATGATTGTGTAAGCACTCGTGAACACATTAATTAGCGCAGAAGAAACGAATTAAGTCTCCCAAATAATTGACTATAAAGTAATTAGGACAAAAGGAAACATACTTGTCTCATTTAGCGATTTTCGTGGGATGTAGAAATCATTTCGTTGCATTGCCACGATAAAAGAATAATAACTATACACCTAAAAATTTTACTGGCAGTAATGAAAATGCTCTTGTCTATAAATGAACAGAGATTATATCAAAAAGAGTATTTTATTTCCGTACCGAACTATTACTTTAAATTGACTTTGTACTGTTTATCTCGCTATAGCAAGTAACTTTTATATGATTAAAATTTTGACCGTTTGTTACAAAAATGAAGATAATGGCGAGATCTTTCTTTTGAAATTAAATATAATTATAATTTAGAGTTCTCACAAATAGCCTTAATGTGACCCTACTCACATAAGATCAATCAAGTTTGAGGATTATTGACCATTCAGTCCCTTGCACAATTTGCATTCAGTCTCCCATCTTTACCCTTATTCTAAGCTATTCTCATCGCAAAAGTTACCCTCCACCTCCTTATCACATCACCCTCTTCCGTGAAGTTCAAAGGAAAGACTCACAACAACAACACACCACAATGACGTCCTGCATGCACGCACTCTGCCCGCGTTGAAATGCCACTGTCTCTATTCCTGGAAGTCCCTCCGTACAAACAACTACAGGGCACGACCAGCATCAACATGAATAGCAGGTAGCACAAGGTACTTTAAAGTGGTATTACATACCTTCAGCCTATTTTCGTTAGTTCTTATGCAATTCGTACATCTTCACTTGCATATTTCGAAGTTAGCCTTTTATATAATACGGAAATCTCCCATATAAAAAAAGGGAGAATGTCCTTACTTAGCTTACTTCCAAGTTATTCATCTTTTATAGTACCCCCTTCACCGCTTTCTCATAACATTTCTACAAAATTAAGTTTACAGCTCATTATCGTTTTGTGCTGCAGTACCACAAAATCATATCTTCCATCTTAAAAACCATGTATTTCAAAATGCGATAAAATGAGAGACGAAATTTCCCACAATAACTAAACATTGCAGTTTCTACTGCCAAAGTGCGCTATATTTATACTAATTTCCCGGACAGTCGAAAACCACTAATCAAAGTTTTTCGAAATCATTTTGCTTTCTTAAACATTAAATCCCCGGGAATGGATTTTAAGTTTGTTGTTTAAACAAACTCCACGTTAGTGATATTTGACAACAAAGTGAAATGACATCGCAAAAAACAGACATCGATAGAAATATCTGGTAATGAGGTGTAAATGCATGAAAAAGCATCAATTAACTTAATGAAAAGAAAGTCTCAACAGTATCCAAACCTGGTTAAATTTATTCTCTCATTCCCAACAGCTAGCAAATGCTACGTCACCTAACTCAATCTTATAAGGTTTAGTTTCTGCAGTGAATTCGTAAAAGCTAAGGAAAAACTAAGCCTGCACCACATTCGCCAATTACTACAGAAAACAATACTAACATATCAGAAAAACTGGTGCAATTTTGTAAAACGCTAGATCGAGCCTTAAAAAATTGGTGGTCTGGAATTAATCGAATAATTTGGCACAGTTTCATGAATTAAAAAAATACAAATTGAAACGGTGATGTTCAAATTATTCCACAATACCGTATAAAAATGCAAAATCATACCTATCACTGTGGATATTTGAAATGAGCAAAAACAAGATGTAAAAAATCCTAAACATTCACAGTGATATTTTCATAGTATCAAATTATTCAAATAGTGAAAAATTTTGTAAAAAAAAAAGTGATTATTTGAAAGAGCAGTAATTTTAAATTATTGCATTTATACAAATGACAGAGTACATACATAACATATCGAGATCATTAGTTCAAAAAAAGATTTCTACCATTCAACCAAAAATTCAGCTTTTTTTTTTGAAAACCTTGCATTATTCACTATATAAACTCTTTAATATTTCTAATGAACAACAAAGCTTACTTAGTGCGAGACTAGTTGAAACATAAATTTGTTACCTTGAATGATAGTGAATATTAAGGTTGGGTATTGAAATGATTTTCCAATTTCTATATTTTTTTAAAAACTTTTATGTTTTGGCGTTTTCTTCGAAATTTTCGATTTTTAGAAATCTGAATTAAATTAAAAGCAACATGAATTTTTGACCACTATATACCATTAAACATGATAAAGAAGCTTATTTCGAACAATACAACATGAATTTCGACATCTAAACTTATAGTAATAAGAAAAAAGAGATATAGCACAGCAGTCAATAATGTTTTCTCCTGAACATATAAGGACAAACTTCGCCACAAGTCTCATTTTATAAAGCACCAGCACCATTGAAACCCTGAAAAATAGTACACTAAGTCCACTTAAATTAAACTGCATTAATCTTATTTATTATCAACATCATAAATATTTATTTCGTCCTTCAAAAACAATTTTTTAAGCCACTCGAGTGCTGCTTACTGAGCATTAATATAACTGCAGTGGAAAAATCAGTAAAAACAATCAAAAAACAATAAAAACAACCACTAAGCAATATCACTTACCGAATCAAGTAAACTCCGATTAGTTTGTTCCGTTTCCACGTTTGCTGGAGAGGCAAGATTTGTTTCTGCGAATGAACACCTTTTAAGTTGAGTTGGCGCTGTTTCTGCATCTTCGGTATTCCTCTCCGCTGATCTTTTTCTTCCATTATTTTTTTGCTTTAATTTAATGAAAATGAATTCAAGTTGATAAACCAGATTTAAAGGCACTGCTGTCATCAGATCAATTTGTAACATAATTCTAGCAATTTCAATTATTCTAATACTTCTTACCGGGTTCGTTTCATCATTATTCACCAAAAGTTGTAATTCACTATTTTGGCCATCACTCACGAGGCATTGCGTAGCAGGACATTGGTTGTCAATTGCTGAAGTTAAAAATTTTATTAAAGTCCGAAAGTTTCATTTACGGAAACAACAAGAAGTATAGGATCTATCGTAAAATTTTATCCTAATAAAACAAATAAAAGTTACCTTCAATAGCTGAGTGGCTGTGAAGAACTATTCTGCTGGCTTCACTCTGCAAGAAAACGACGTCAAAAAATTTACTTACTACAAGGAAAAAAACCTTCGCACAAACCGACACATGTTCAAAAAGGTGAGAATGACATGAATTAATCCCATAATCGACAAACCGACTACTCACCGATAGCTTCCTTTCCACTGAATTTGAACCGATAGGAATGTCAGTGCAGCTCGAGATGCTTATCTCCGATTTAGAAACTGCCTCTGCAGAGCCTGAGACTGCAAATTTATTCCTATTGTTTTGAAAAAAAAAAAAATTTTAATTGAAATTTTGATAAAAGCTATACAACTAGAACAGAGAAAAATTTGCGTGAGCAATTCATAGCATCTGAAAAAAAAAGCACCTGTTGGTACTGAAACTGTTGATGACATTGCTAAATCATTTTGTACATTTTTACTGACTTCCGTCCCAGATAATGACGTGGAAGGCGATGCAGCTCCCTTAAATGACTAATTTCAGAAAACTTTTTTAGCTGAACTGGTGAGATATAAAAACTCCACAAAATATATTTCCCAGTTATTTAAATTTAATTCATCTACATGACATTACATTTCATCCGATTTGAAGGATGAACTTACCGAAGAGTTACAAGAAGCAATGCTTGATGTTTCACTTCTCGTCTTATTTTGTAATGGACCTGTAGCCTGTTGATTTTGAGAAGTTGCTATTCGTCTCCTTTTTGGTGCTTTCTTTCCCCTAGTTAGGTCTTCCATTTTCAACCATTTTACAAGTTCTGCTTTACGAAGATAATGTGGTATTACCTGAAAATGAAAAATCTAACAATTTTCCATTTCTAACGAAAATTTAACACTCAAATTACTGCTTTTACTCAAGTTAGAAAATTTATCAATGGAAAAACTACTATATTTTAACAACTTTTCTAAAATTAAATTAAGTTATAGGCAACACAGAAATACGTACACTCATTCCTTCTACGTATATATTTTGAGTAGTAGCCATGCTGTTCAGAAGATCCATAAAACTTTGAACTTCATGCTGTATGTCAATTTTCCTGCTTACAGTTTTATTCAAATCTAATCCAATAAACCAAAGCCGGCATCGAGGATTCCTGAAACAAGTTCATTACACTGTCAAAAATTAAGTGCCTTTCCCAATTATTCGCCCTACATATTTTTAATTACTTAAGCATATGTTAAGAAAACAGTTAATACAGAAAAATACTCACTGGAGAGAAACTTGAACCGGAAAAGGATCATTTCGTGGCTGATAATATTTTGTATGTACATGACACACCCTGATACTTTCGCGACGTTCCAAACTCGCAATCAAAAATCGGATTTTAGATTCAACTAGTCCACACCACACCAATTCATCTTGCTGAAAATTTGAGAATCATTAGCATCTGTGTATTTTGAAAATCAGTAAGATCAACATAATATTTCAAGCGGTAATCTGCTTCCTTATAGATTATTATAATTTTTCAATATTAGTCATATGACTTAGGCTATGAAGAGAGTGAGAACTCACCTCTGTCGCCGACAAACAAAGAAGTGCTAGGAAATGTTTGTAACGACTGAAGAAATTAACTTCTTCAAACAATGCTGACCATCCAGTCTTTCCTTTCATTATGTCGTTAATAGTAACAAGACCTTAAAAAGTTTTGATTTTGAAAGTGGCATATCGAAGAACAGTCACATGAAACATGAGTCGAGGTTAATGGTTTTAATTAACACGGAAATGATTTGACAGAAATAACAAGAAAGCGAATGAATAATAGTACAGAATGAAAAGATCAAGTCAAAATAAACCTTCTTCGATCTCATTCATGATGATTTTTAGCGAAGACTTCGTTACATTGAATGTTGAATTCTGTTGCGGAAAAGCTGGTGTCACGATTGGCATAAGGTGAAACCTGCGACTGGGACTTTCACTAGACAATGAACAAAAAATAAATATTCATTGTTAGGAATAATAATGACTTCTTTATGACTCCATAGTATAAAGAAATAGACATAAAGACGAAAGGTTACCGATCACCACTTCTTGATCGCGGATCCCAAACAAGTTCTTGTAAAGACGGCATATCACGTGCGTGTGAAACTTCTGTTTCCTTAAGGACTACTGGATGTGGCCATTCCCTGGAAACAAACATCATGGTAAACAAAAGACTTTAGTACGCTCAGTAATTTTATTTCGAAAAAGTCGTTTTGCATCTAACACACAAAAAAAAAAATGTAACATCAATGAAAATTTTTGTATTAGAAGTTCTTTAAAAAAAAGTTGTCCCAAAATTATTTGAATACTAATACTGAGCATGCCAGTAATTATCCTAATACTGATTAGTACCATTTTGTGTATAATAAGAAAAATTTCTGCACAAGTCTTGCTGGCCCAGTGTTTGGATATAACTGGCATGTTCGAGCAACAAGTATAGCCCATGATACACCGCCAAGATAACCAAGAACATTAGAATATACGCCATGATCTGCAAAATATTCCAATGAAAAATGTATTTGATAATGTCCCAATTAATAATGAATAATGGAAGTTTTAATTTAGAGTTTCTTTTGGAGAGTCCAGCTTTTACCAAGTACATTAAAATATATGCCATTTACTGGAATTTTTGTTAATGGAAGCTTAAAATCTGACAAGTGCTTAGAACATGCAGCGAATAGTAACGGAAGATTTCAACATGAGTTACCCTCAACATTATAACATGAAAAGGAAATGGCAATAGTTATGAAACATACTTTTCGCCCAAAGTTTAATGGCTCGCAGTGCATATGTAAAATTTGATATATTGGGTACTAGGCGTAATATTTCATCAGCAACGCGACAGCCTGGAAAAGATACTTGCTAAGATAACGGTACACAAAAATTAATTTTAAAATTTTAACAGAATTTTTAGACAGAATTAACAGAATGCCAGAATTTTTAGCCACGTGTTTTAATAGTTGGTTAACTCACCATTTAACGAACGAACACTTTTCTCATCTAAATTTCTCAATATCGAATCATCGTTCAACTGCTGATCTTCTGGCACTCTCGGTAGAGCAAGGCGAGCAAATAATATATCCATTTCAATACCATAATATTTTAATTTGATTACGGGGACAAAAGCCTCCTGAACCTGGCGTAATTCCGTTGTATTTGGATCCTAAAAGCAATGGTGTAATGCACGATTTTGTAAAGCTCTATTATGACAAACTTTTGATAGAATTTCTGCAACGGACTTTGTTCGCGAATAAACTCATCATTTGACTAAATTGCTCAATATCGATTTATCTAAATCCAATGGTTATGAAACTAATTCATCAGACTCTGCGCCTTATTCATTAAACCAAATATTCCTAACGAAAGCAAATTACCTCAGCAAGCATTTCATAGAAACTTGTGAAGAAATCGTTCCGATCCACATGTCTCGGCGCTACACAAAGTGAATCAATATCAGCTCCTGAACCACATTTTATTGGAAAAAGTTGGATTTTTCTTAAAGACAAAAATATTATTTGTTTTTTCTTTTGCCAAATCTACCATAATAGAGGATATGACACGAGAAAAATGAAATGCAAGAAAATGAAAACTTCTCTGAGTTCAAAAAAGAAAACAAAACAAAGAACACAAAATAAACCTCTAGTATGTACATTAAGTCGATATGATCCAAAAGTAAATAATTTTCCACCAACGCTTTGAATTTCAGAATCAGGCATTTGCTAAAAAAATGAATAAGCCTGAATATCATATCCTCTTTTTCAAGAATTTTTAATGGAAAGGAAAACAATGAAGACCTGAACATAAAGTGATAGGAAAAGGTTGGAAAAAATAAGATTAAGATAATGGAATATGTTAGAGTTATATGTCGGTAACTGCGAAAATATAAATGATGAACCCTTCTTTTAGATACGATGCGGACCCATTTTTTCACATATGCGTTGATTTTGCTAAGCACTTTAAGACGTAAATTCATTTCCTCTTCTGTTTCAAAATAACCATTTGCTTGCAAATATTCATCTAGCTGAAAAGAACACAAAAATTATCTATTCGTATATTTAAATTGCAAGAGCTATAAACAGAATTTTTCTATACTGCAAACTGCATCAAGTCTAAGAAAAGCGATCAAAATCAAAAAAATTACTTTCACAAGCTAAACAGCGTTAATTTGAAGCAATACTCACTTTTGTCGACATGACAATATCAAATTCATCCGGTCCCGAAATTGAAATGGGTTGTGAAACCCCAAGATAAGTTGTCGTAAGCCTATTGTCCTTGCCAATACTGTTGCCTCTATCTGTTGCAGTATTCCTTTTCACTTCTTGAGGCATTTGCAATGATATACAACTGCTATTGCTTAAATTATAAATAGAATTACAATTGTTTACCTCTTAAATTATAGGTATCTTTCGAGATATTTTCCCAGACTTAAAAAAAATAATGAAGGAAAATTTTTGTTTCATTAAGACAGTTTGCTTGAAGACGAGACTTATGTGAGATGATAACGTAGTGTTGAATTTCTTTTGTTCAACAAACACTACTTTATATGGCAGCAGTAAAAAATCCAAGAGAGTAGAACAAAAAGCTTATCCATTGTAAATTGGCCTGATTAAGAAGACTTCACTCTCAAGATATATTTCTCATTGAATTTGAATTTCGTAACGAAAAGAAACTCGGCGCATCAGAGAAAGAAACTCAAGTCAATGTCCCCAACTTCCTAGTCCATAATTAAGCAACAACTACATCGCGGTGGACAGTACCGGTATCATGCAACGCTTAGACTTGGACAACTTTAGGGTCGCTGTGAAAACGCACCTCCTAACTTCATAAAATGGCACCCAAAGGAGAGAAGTGAGCCAAAAATTTTGTTTTATATATATATGTACTTATGTAGAAGTATATATAAGGTGTCATTACATGAAGAAGTATATTAAATGAATGGAATGAATGAAATTTGATTCCCCGAAAAATTGAGGAAAAAAATTAGAATGAGGTGAGAAAATGAATTAGGAAATAAAACTGAAAGAATAAATTAGGAAAATAAATATTTTGGTTTTTTGGCTAATATCAGTGCTATCCTTACTTACCTTTTTGCTGGAGGTAAGCATCCGGAGCTATTCATCTCTTTAACCGATGAAGATGTAGATGACATAGTAGATGACACATTAGACGACAATGAGACTTTTATGGGCTTATCTGTTAGTGGAGAATTTGAAGTTTTTTCATTTTCTACGCTTACATTGAGCTTGTTTTGACATTTTGCAGATTGAACACTGCACAAATTCTCTGGATCGGTACTACTAGAAATCTGCGGTGAATTTGATTCGCCACTTGTTTTGCTTTCGAAATGAAGAGGAAAGACAGACGATTGAGGAGCAATCCATCGATATCGTGAAGAAAAACGAAGTTTCCCTGGTGGTGGAATGTTATAATTCATCTGAAAATATTAAAAGAACACATAAAAATGAAAAAAAATGTCTGATCACAGCAGCCATAAAAATAACTTACTCTTTTTTGGATAGAGGCTTGTAAGTTTAAATATAGAGCTGCTGGAAAATGAAGAATTATGTTTGTTGTGATGAGTACACCAGGCCAAAATAACGATTTTAAAGGTCAACATTTCTTCACTTCCTATAGGTAATTATTTTCAATAAATCGATAAGGTCATATCATCACTGCTACACTGCTTCATCCAAAAATATTTGAAAATGTCACTGAAAGTCATAGCAAAGCGAAGCGGAGGAAATTTTATCAAGTTGAAGCATCAATAAACATCCAAAATCTTACTTGAGAAAATAAGTGGTTCGTATGGTATCTGAAGTCGCGAGTATCTGTGGAGAGGATATTTTAATTGATAACAAATAATTAGACTTTAAATGGTAATTAAAGCAAGATCATTCTCATTGTAGTAGCAGTTTGATTATGACTGAGATGTTTTAGCTATTTGAGTGAAAAATGTAAACCACTTCTATACTAACTGAGCAAAGGACATTTCATTTTGAACTGAATTTGCGAAGTGAAATAAGTTTCAAAAGATGTTGTAATAAAGTAGTATGAAATTGGATTACAGTGAAAATTTTTGATTAGTGAAAATGCTCCTCCCACTAAGATGCTCTTTCATTAAATGGCTGTGCATGACTAAGTTACTACAGTAATCTTTGCATGAATAAGTAATCTTGCTACAGTAGTCTTATGTTTCCAAGCGGAAAGGCTGAGAAGCACATAATGCCAATGAGATGAGAAAGTGCGGGGTGAGAGATTCTGTCTCTCTCACTTTTCTTTGAAGAAAATTCTTCATCTCCAAACTCAAGATGAAAAGGTCAACAAATGTCTCAAAAGAAGTGTCGCTACTTTTCGATGGTTTTATTGGATAAGAAAAAGCAGAACAAATCAGATGACTCATTCTTCTAATGCTTTGTTATATAAAATCATTTTCTCATTTCTCTTGATAAGATAATATGACTTCTGTGATGAGGTAAACGTGGCGGCCTAATGATAAACAAAAAGTGCTGTAGACAAAAACTTTGTAATCATTATAGAAGATCTCCAGTATTGTGTATGTTTAGATCCTAAACTGAACTCTTTTCAGTTTCTGCCACTTTTCTATGGTGTCGCCAAATATTCTGTGACCTTTGAATAGATTAAGTTATGGGTTATATTATGTTTTCACTTGATTTTTATAACATGTTTAATCGGCAAATTTAGCAACAGTACAAGCTACTTTAAATTTAGACGAATCATTTCTAAATTCATGATATTTTATTAGTCATATGCACAATGCTTAAGGAAAATATTAGAGTTTAAAGATAAATTAGAACATTTTTTTTGTAAATAGATACTTACATTAGATGTCATAAATGTAACTAAATAGCCACTATTTTGCTTTTAAAAATCATATTCATAAAAGTTTGGTTTTGGTTTTTACTGTTGATAAATAGCAACTTTTCTTGAAAACAACATGAAATACCTGCATATATAGGGAGCATCTATAGAGAATACATTACTATAAAAATACTTTTTTGAAGTATACTAACGAAAATACACATAAAAAGAATATATGTTACCAGAAATATCTGTAAGCGATTGAAAAGGAACTACACTAAAAAGAAATATGAAAGAAAAATTCATTTTGTAAAAAACAAATGAAATTAACCTCATATAACAACAAATTCCCTGGAAAAAAATCAATGAAGTATGGAAGGAATGAAATGGAAGGGCAATGGTAAAGCGATGGAGGAAATTTGTGTAAGACTAACGCTACTTAAGGTAATAAATTCATCAGAACGTCAAGAAAACGACAACATTTTGTTGTGGTTCATCTTGTTTGATTTCTTGTGCAAATAATGCAATGTGTCGACAAATCATAAAACAGAAACTTTTTCACTTCTAGATATTAATTTTAATCAGCTGAAATAAATTCATAAAGAGGAAACAACAACAGTAATATCAGCCAGATATAAAAATATTTTTCAATGATTATTTTCAAGTCAAATTCTTTTTCATTTCCAGCGGTATATGGGTGAGAATTTTGAATAGTTTAAAATTCTCATTCCTTGTGTTAGATTATTATCGCTATGAAATTTGTAACTCCTTGTTGAAGGTGATTATCACGAAAGCTGTCCAAATATCATTCATATACCCACGATCGATGGTTTAGACTAAAGATCACTTGGCACTATGATTTAAGTAACTTAAAGTGAAAATAACTCTATGCAAAAAAAAATGATTTTTTCTAATCAACTGAACAGTAATTAACTGTTGCTGAAAAGCAATTAGTAATTATACCAGCTGTTATTTTTTTCATCCAATGGTTGGAACTACCTATACAGAGCAACCGAAAAGATCATTTGTTGCAAAAAAGAATCAACTGGCAAATCCACATCCTTTTTGAAAATTATAAAATTATGTTAACAAATAGTTTAATTTACATATCATACATTGTATGTTCCCATTAACTATCATGAAAATCCAGGTTTTGATTTCACACTCTACTTTCAGATAAATAGTCCAGACCTATTTAACCCAAAATGATTTTAAAAGTTACCATTTCTATTTATTACTTTTCTGATCACCCACTCTGTAAGATATAGTAGTGAGAGGAGCTTAAGAAATCTTGATTTTAATTTCATCTATCCAACACTCGTCCCTGTCCTTAAAACAACTGAACTGAACACCTCCAGCAAATTGTAATTATTGGTTCAAAACAGTAATATTAGTACTATTCCTTCATATTCATTCTTGATATCCAATATTTCAGTTTATTTTACCAGTTGCTACTTTAATAATTGTAGGCCAATTTCTTACAAATTCGTTATTGACTGCAATTTATACTGTTTATGAAAGTCGTTTACATTTCAAATCTTAAGAAAATTCAAGTTCAATAACAAATGACATTATCTCCAAAGTGCAACACTTGTTTCACGTGGTTATGGATGCAAGGTGGATTATTCACATCTTGTCTGAATATAAATTTAAAGTTCAAAGTAAACATATAGGCAACATTTCAATATTTCTGTCAAAATTCTTGAAAGTGTGGGCTAACATTTCCAAGCTCCTCTGTACAGATTCACTTGCGTCGTCAATTCCGTTTATCTATATACATATAGATCATTTACCACCTCAAAGAGTCAAGAGCCAGAAAGTTAAGCTGGCGAAATGTGAATTCTTTAAATGTATTCCAGAGTCCTTGATGCCACAACACAGTATTAGTTCTACTATACAACAACTATTACAATAGAAAACAAAAACCTATTATTCATACTTCAATAATTTGTCAAGTGATTTCACGACTGCGGATGATTTCACGACTGTTATTTTCTTTAGTGTTTCCACGGTATCTTTGTGCTTGTATAGCAACAAAATACATTTTTTGTTCTGTGCTCGCTTAATGATATATTCTAGAACGACGCAACATTGTTGAGCAAACGTATGCCGTTGCGAAACATCATTTTCAACCAGAAGCGAACCAACAACCACAAACAGAGCGGTGAAATCAATATGAGATGAACATCTAAATATTTAAAAATATTGTAAATTACCGTAACAAATAATGGTTTATATCAGATTATAACAAAGTACTGATGATAAACTGCTCCTTTTCGATGTTTAGCAAATAAACCAGAACAGCATCATATGCAATTAATGTTGCTACAGTTGTCATTTCTCAGGAATTGTAAAACAGAATTTTCGAGTAATTACATTTCTTTTTGAGAGTTATTTCATCTCCAAGCTTATGTTTATTTCGAAAATATAATCAAAAATTTGTTTTTACAACTCACCTTTCAATGAAATGGGGTAATTCGATAATAAATGCTTGCTTCACTTTCCAAAATGTATCAGACTTCAACAAAGCGACTACTTGCTCCATGCAACGAAACAATTCGGCTAAAGCAATGAAGTGTGAAATTATTTAGTAATTGTAGAAATAATTAAATATTACTTAATAGAAAAACTAATTAGACATTACTCAATATGAATTACAACTACTGAGTTTCGAAATAGCTAGAGAAATAAGGTATCTTACTGCACAGATAACAAACCTCCGTGAAATGACAGTAACAAATGAGCAATTGCTGGCACAATCTTCATTAGATAATCATAATTTTTCAGACTTTCACTTTCTCCTTCGCTGATAATACTGCAATTTTGTCTGAATTTCCAAAAATTTGATATAAAATCAATGAACCATTTTGGTTCTCATAAATGATTATAAGTTTTGCTTTAGGTATTTCATTGAACTGATAATTTTTTCTTTCCAAAAAATTAAAAAAAAAAACACAAAATTCTCACTTTGAATGACTATAATTTATGACATCACAAATATAGGACATCATTTGTTGAGCAATTTTTCTACAACCAGTCATTTCGCAAAACATAGCAGCACACAGAATAGCTTCTCCAGCATATTTCTCACTTTTTTTTTTACATTGTCCCCATAAAGGCAAAAATTTCTATAAAAATAATTTTTTTCATTACCAAATAAATCAAACAAATATATATATATATACGATTAGTCTCAACATATTGTAGAATAATATCAAGAGTTGATAATACAGACCATCTGAACTCATATGTCATAATTTCTTTTTAGAAGTTTGACAACAATTTGTCCGTTTCTGAATTGCTTTTCAAAATATATTTGCGAACAAAGTATTTTATTGGGTTTCGCTTCACATGCTAGCTATCAATTTAAATTAAAAAGGAATGTTGACATAAACGTGGATAGTAGGCATACCATTTCAACTGTAGTTTCATCCCACTTTGAAGCCAAATTTTTTCCTGCCGAAAATAATAACGCTCTGATAGCTTCAACTAACTTTTCTTTACCATCCCATATTCGGCCACGTAATGCGTTTGTTAAATTATCATAGAGCATTTCTGAAAGACATTAAACTATCACTAAATTGCTTACAAACACATTAACTATCACCTTCAGTTCATCTTCTTGTTTCTGAGCTTGCCTACTTACAACTTGCTTTAGTTTAATGAAGAAAACATGGAGAAACAAAGAAACAAACCAATACAGTCAACGTCATCATTGAGAATACCAGATTCGGCAACTGATGCAAGTACCTTTGCTGCTTGTGCTTTCATCGCAAAAACAGGACTTGTGTTTAGTGTAAATAAAGCTACCTCGACCATTTCCTTATGATATAAACGAATAGCAGATGAAGTGTCTGTGACAAAATTAATAAGTCATTGACATGGAAATTAATATTTCTTAACTACTTAAAAAAAGACCGAACTTTGTTTGAAAATTTCATTTTTATTCTGAGTCGTTAAAATTGCTTAAGAAATCCATGAAATAAAAAGTGAAAACATGTTAGACATGAAATCGGCTATAACAAAAAGAGTAAAATCGCACCTGGAACCAACTCGGACCATAATTCATCCCACATCTCGATCCTCTTTCTCCCTGCCTCATCATTTTTAGCAACTGAAAAATTCAAAAAAACATTTGTACGAAAAAAAAAATGGACAATGAAACAAAGTTATTCAAAAAATAAGTCCTAAAAAATGCAAAATTCCATTCAAAGAATTTAAGGGAAGACTGAATAATGTCTTATATAAAAATCAACAAGAAATATAAGGGTCTTAATATATTAAACAAACTACAAGACTCACCTTCCTGGCATTTATAAAGAAATATAAATGGAACAATGACAGTTAGTAACTCAGAAAGAACTTCAGTATTTCTTGATAAAAAGCGTAGAAGATGCAATACTGTCACTTTTTCTTCATCTGAAACGCCGCTATTCAAATATAAAATTTTCAGAAAATTTCGAGAATCAGGTATGCAAATCTGACAACATCACCTCCAAAAACAAATTTTTATTATTTAACTATTTGCAGTTATTGAAACTAAAAAAAAATCGAAATATTCAAGAATTCTCTTATTACGAGATGGTAGTTTTTTGAATTCTGAAAACCCATCAAAATGAAGTTCAAGGGAGTTCGGTAGGTAAGAAATTTGAAAATGGCCAGAAGGCTGAAGCATAAATTTTAAGACAATCCTCACATATTAAAAAACTGTTCATACATTTCCTATTCATTTATGAATCCGGCAATAGCTGTTCAATTTTTTCCATCTTTCAGTAAGCTTACCTTGTTCATTTTGCATTTTTTGTTTTATGTAATCCAGAATTCGATTTACTTCTTTTCTTGAACAGAAAGGCAGTAAATATGATAAACAAGATGCAAACTGTTTTTTAATTACTGGATTACGATCATTTAAGCCAGTGAGAAGAACTCGTATCATTTTATCTGAAAGCTAAAATAATAGTGCATTACATTCACGAAAATTAAATTTCCAAACATAAGTGCACCTAAAAAAAGTGAAATTTTGAGATGCAAAGCATTTTTGCATTTCTCAACCAGTTCTTCAATTAAAAACTTTAAAGAAATTCAAAAAATAACTTTCCAACTCTTCATCATAGCACTGCAAATCTCACTATAATTATTAATTACATATAATATAAAAATCTAAAGAACACACCACATGAAGATCGACAAGACAACAGAAGTTCCTGACGCTGAAGGCACAAATCGATAATAAATTGACAACATCCTGTACGTGTCGTCACGCCAACACTGCAACGTAGTTGTTCAACCAATTTGTCGCTTAATTCAGGGTTGAAAACATCTTTATCTACATACGGGACAACACAACGAAGAGCAGCCATCATTGGAGAGCCATGTGCCATTGACGTACGGGCCGAGTCCAGCTCAAATAATGTCTTTTACAACGTTTATATAAAACTGAGCAACTTTAAATAAATCTTTACAAAAGACAGAACAGCAAGATTGGAAAGAATTTATTAAAACAGAAAAAACCACTTTAGTTTAAAGTTTAATTTACTTTAAACTACAATATAACAGAAAGAGGTTCATTGTAAAATGTAAATTTGAACGAAAAAACCATAACAAATTTACCACTTCCAGTTCATCTAAACTTGATCTAGCAGCAAGATAATTCAGAAACGTTGACTCTTCTTCACTCAATGAGTCTAGCAAGCACGGCACTATTGTATTTACATGTTGTTGTAGTGCCAAACCAGCTTCCTTTGCAATGTCCATGATCAATTTTAGACTGGAAAATCATTAGTTCCCGATTTATAACCCGATATACAATTGAAAAGTAGAAGCAAAGAATTAGAGATCTACAAAAATTGAAAAGTGTTTTGAAATGCCACCTCAATATTTTATTAGCTTTGACACTCGATCTAACTCCTTTCTCAACAATAACTGGAAGTACCATTCCAAGCAATTGAGTAGCTTTAGCGCCATTAAATGAAGAACATTTGCGTAGCGTAATTTTAATGAGACTTGACAAAGTACGTCCTGCTGCTACTCGAACTGATTCCTTAGCAATGGCATACAGTTAAACAACGATACAGAGAAATTTCGTATTCAATTGCAACTTTTTAGAATGCTTGGACAAATAATAGGACATTTGACTCTTGTCGAACTGAAAGAATCAATAACAATATTTCCCATATTTTTGCTACTAAATACAATTCTCATGAAACTAAGCACCTTTATATCATCCTGAACTCGATACAATATTTCGAAAAGCTCACCAAAATGTTCCACTACTTCATTAGTGCAATGTGCACTGAGAAAGTCTGCTAATGCCAAACAACTGCAAAAATCTAAAGAGTATGAAGCTCCGGCTTTAAATGAACCAAAAGAGAAAAATTAGCTGGCTTGTTCCATGTGAAAATATACACAGTCAAAGTAGAAAAGAAAGAAGGAAGGAAACAATATAGTCAAAGGCTTTTAGAAGGTTAAGAGTAACATTGCATCTGTTCATGATTCACCAAATGAAAAACTATTCAAAGTTTCATATAAAAACTCAAAACATGAATTGTATCCTTTTGCAGATGTAATGTAAAAACAGAGCAAAAAACCAGTGATAACACAAACCTCGATTCACGCGTTCGCCACTGAGGATCCGTAAGGGTTAATTTAAGTTCTTTGAAAATAGCGTCTGCATATTCTTCAATCTAAAAATAAGATGCATTATTCAGTATCGATTTCGTATGTCATATTTGCTGAAACCTGCGTATGTTACATTTAAATTTTGACTTTGAAATCATTATTACATGCACAAGTAATTTCTTACTCATGTCATAATCGTCTCAAACACACTGATTCAGCTAATGATCTCGTATTATAATGTAGTACGGAAATATGCTTAACATTCTAAAATATATCAAATAATAAAATAATGAATTTTTAAATTACGACAAAAAAATAACAATAAATTGACTTTCATGGATGGAAAATACATTGCTTTTTGTTAGAAATTGTAACACACCACATTTTTTTTAGAAACTGTGGTTGCTTGCCAAATTGACCTCATGGCGCCTTGGACTTTCAAATCAGGATCATACCGATATCTGTAAAGTTTTGGTACCAACTGAGCCAAATATGGTTCCATTGCACCTTTTTCTTGTTGCATTATAATACTGAAACTGGAAGCTGCACCCTAAAAATAAGATGTCATTTCAAGAACTTTTGGCAAGATTTACGAAAACAAATTGAAGGAACTTATTTTCTTGGAATTCCATAAAATATTGTGATTTGCAAGCTGCATAAATTTGTATATGAGATCCGGCTGATTCAAATCCGTAGCCAAATTGCAGAGTTCTTTATAGGTTGTCAAATTTTCCCTACAAGAAATTTAATTTATGTAGGATTAAAAAAAAAGATAGTAAAAACCTTCTAGTCTTGCAGAAAAAAAAGATCATAAAAATGTATAATTGCAAGCAATTTAAGCTAAGGACGAAATTTAAATTAAAATCAAATATTTATATTTAGGCGGACCCCATCGGTGAACTACCCAATTCACCCTTCGAGAACAAGAGGGTGTCTGGTGCAACCGGATTGATTTGTTTTCGACCAGCTGAGAGTGTATTAACCAATTCTTCAACCATTACTTTCTTTTGATTTTCCGAGCCTAGTTCAAAGATGATACCAAGTCCTTCGCTTGCAACTTCTTGCGAGAATTCTGGAATTTATCATTGAAACAAAGCAACATAGATTTGATGATATGCAGACGCGTTGTTAAAATTTCCATCCAATCTGACAGATTTCAACGTACTTTCATTATAAATAAAAAAATAATTGGAGAAAATAAACAAACAGACCGCTTGTTTCGGTTAAGCCATTGATAAAAGCATATTGAATAGAGCATAAACTGTTCATTATGCAATCAAGTTTCATGGCACTACATCGTTTCACCAAAGTAAACAACCAAACAAGCGCAGCTTGACGCAAATGGCGATTCACGTGATGTAATTTAATATTCAGAATTTCCAATAAATTCGCTACTTTCTTCTCAATACTGTCCCGTCCATCAACAGATAAGTTCTTTTCCTGAGAATTTTGTGCATAAAACCTGATGTATTTCAGAATTTTGTATTTTTTGACCATCTCATTAAGTAAATTATATTTTTTAAAACCCTCACACTTACCAGAAAAAATTCTTCTGTTTCGGTGAAAATATTTCTACGTGATGGAGAACTTTCCCCGAAAGCAGCGTCAAAAAGCGCACTGCCAACTGTAAACTGCAGTTCTGGTTGGGTAGCAATCTGAAGAAACACTACATATATGCTATACTTAACCAGTAAACAACAAGGTTAGTTATTTAAAATTCTAAGTTAAATTTTAAGTGTCACACACTTATAGCTAGGAGTTCAGTGAGGTTTTTGAAATATATGAAGTTAAAAATTTACAATGCAACAATAATTTTCTGAAATTATGACATCTCAACATGTTAGTGCCGACATTTAATGCACTGAGAAACAACATTATTAGAGATTAATAATAATAATAATAATGAATATTTCATTCCACTGTTAGTTGTTAGGCACAACATTAGATTGAATTAGTGCAATTTAAGCACATCTCATACATAACACTCTTCGAATACATAAAAATAGTTTTAGACTTCCTAAAGATTACTTTTTAAAAACCAAACTCTCATCTGGTAAACCATCTATTTTATACTATATAGCACCTATAATTAAAAATGAAAAATTTTGGAAACTTACCTCACCACATGCAAATAACTGAGCCAAAATTTTTTCATATAAAATAGTTGGCAAATTATGTAATGAAAGAAAACCAAGACACTGCACAGCTGATTCTTTCATTTTTGATGTTAAAGTATCCTTTCGAGATGTTGCTATCTTTCCCAGCAATTTACAGAGCGAATAAAATTGATTATCCGAAATTGATGATAATAAGTTAGTCTGAAGAACAAAGCTGAAGTAGAAAATTGAAATAAAATGGCGATACACATCAATATGGTGGTGATTTTAAGAATTATAGATAAATATTATGAGGCAAAATTCATTGCCTGATATGATATTACCTCTTCATGTGATCAAAAAACCTCTAACTCATAAATTACAAAAAAAAAGAGATAGAATCTCAAACAAAACCAGCTTCCAAGTAACATCAATATAATCTTGAAAATGATTGCCTTCTCTGTTTCTCTGAAACTGAAAACAGCTCTTCTCAATAATTCTGCCAACGAACCACAAGCTGCTTCAGAGTGCTGCTGAGTAGAAAATATTTCGATCACGTTCACTAAGTAATCTTTAATTCTATTGAATTCTCCAGTAGTTAAGTCTGCCTGTGACTGAGTTGCTAAATATGCACAAAGCCATGGGACTTGAACCTGTAACTCCTGAAATATTGATTTTTTCCTCAGTTTTTGTTCAAAGTCATTTAACTATGTATATCATGGCTGCCAAAATGACAAACATATTCAAATTTGAACATATCTAAACTATGATTTAAAAATGAAATAAAATTTAAAACTTCACTGTTCGAATAATAATTAACTGAACTAATATGTCAAGGTTCCAACAGTGTTTTTCATTTTTTTCATTTTTTTTTTTTTTAACTAATGACCAACAAACACGACATCTGAACAAACCCTCAACGACGGAGGAAAAAATTAAATTTTTTCGAGCATTTCTTTTAATCAAAGCGCTCATCAGTTTACTATCACCAATAAGTGAAACTTACATCACGATTGTCAAAATGCTCCATACATCGTTCTAAACATTTCTTTCTTTCCATATCAGTCAGTATCAGACTGTAAAGCTCCGAAAGTTTTGCACACACTGTTATCCGAGAAATGGAATTCAAATGACGCTCTAAAGATGCCACAACCTAAAATGTTTCTGAAGTTGTCGATTTAAGATGAAATATGCATAATTTTTTTCCATGAAGATTTTAAGAAATTTCCCACAAAATGGAATAACATATGAAAAAAGAAGTTATTTTTCTCTCGTATAATCACTCCTACTATATACATGAGAAGAATAATTTTGATTTATATGAATGAATAATCGAAACTAAAACATATTAAGAAAAGGATAATTGTCATTGCAAAGAGCTATTAAAGAGCAATGAAAAGATACACAGCAAAAAGAAAGAAAATGTACTACCGCATGATAATTGTGACCTAAATTTCCACTTCCACTGTGCAAGATCAAACAAGCAATTTCGATGAGAACATTAGCTGAAAATTTATTTGCAGTTGATTTTATTATGTCTAACTATACCGAATATTAAAAAATGACAAAAACAAACAATATTGTAATGGAAAAATAGTACTGAAAAATGAACTTACTCCAGAGTCAGAAGTAAAGAGGAATATATTATTACTGTCTTTTCAGATCTAAGATCGAAATAAAAAGAACCATGTGAATCATTAATCAATTAGTAATACACATACCAGGATTTTCTACTCAGTTTCTTAATGAAAATATTTTGTTCACAAACTCGGTGAAATATCTAAATAATTAAAAATACCTGGCTGTGCTTCATTTGCCTTCAAAACTATTTCTAGGAAGAGATGTAAAATCTCAACATGATCTTCACTGATCGAAACTAGATATCTACTGATTACAGGATAATGCGATGTTCTTGGAAAAATATCCGCTTCTATTAGTGAGACTGGTTGTAGCAAACAAGCAACTTGTAAATTGGCGTACAGATAAAGCGCTGACTGAAAATTTAGACGTTATGCAGAGACACAACATCAGAATGAATAAGCTTGTGAATTTAATTTTTAACAAAAAAAAAATCCTAAACAGTTTGAAAATGAACAATTGTAGACTCAATTCAGCACATATTTTTAATCATGACATTTCTGTCCTATTCTTTAAGTAGAAAACTAAGAAAAAGCTTTTTTCTCTCTTCGCTTAAGTACAAAACCGAAACTTTTTTAGTGATTTGAAGCATATATTAAAATGTTATGAAATAAAGAATGCGATTTAGTATTCCAAGTCTTCATTTTTCCGAAAATCAGTATGATCTTACTACTATTTATGGACTATATTTTAACTTACAGTTTTCATATTTTAACCTACACTTACAATGTGAAACACTTCGTCAGCAAAAGTTCCTTTCTTCTTCTTCGCTTCAGCAGTTGCAAAGCCTACTCCTCCAACAGCACCTTGCAAATTCAATTTTCGGTGAAAAAATTCAACCAAATCCTTAAAAGAATGACCTGCATCTCCTGCCTTAAATCAATAAAAAGCAAAATGAACAAGCATTACTTTAAAATCGGGTGTCGTCGTAGGATCTGCAACTGATAAATCCAGTAGACGCACAGCTTCGCGTCTCATTTCATCTCTCCTGATAAACAACTGCTTTAATTAGGGGAAAAATTGACAACCAAAATTAATCGTTTTTTTAGAGTCTATTATAAATTATATTAATGTAAACTTGCAAGCTATAACGCCATAAGTCATAGCGTAATTTTCACAGGATTATCATCTAAGCTCAAAATGAACTGAACCCACCAACATATTTACATAAAATTGATGCTCAGTAAAAGGTTATCGGTCCAACAGTGGGGAACTTAAACATACTGATATGCTTACGGATCTTCGCAAGTTCGACAAAGCATCCAGCGGAATTCCAACGATGGTGTTTTCACCAATGTTTCAACAAACTTTAAGGCAACAAGACGGCATTTCGGTGATTCCTAAAAATATTTATAATAAGTTATTCAATATAATTAAACAATTCAGCAAAAGAAAATTAAAAAGTCTGGTAGCACAGAATTACAATTAAACATTACTTATCAGCTAGCAAACATAAATAAATCTGCACACTTCACTACTCCATTACTTCACTACCAAGTATCGTAATGAACAAAATAGAAGTTCACTTAATATTTTAGCTACCAGTGAACCAGTTATTATAATCAGAGCGATTGTATAATGAATGGTCACACACTACTTTTGAGCATTAGCACTGAATATAAAGGAAAAAAAAATATTCGGCATTCAAATAATTGTCCGAAAACTTTTTTTGCATGTATTATTTTATTTCAGTTATTTCTATATACATATCTCGTCGGAAATACCGTAGAATAGTGTGCTTCCCACAAAAAAACAGTTGCAATATAGTTTTAAAAATCCTACAACACTTTTAATAGTGACTTAATGTAATCAATAGAATTTGATACTCCTACATTTAACTATCAAAATACATAGTAACGAAGCTTTAACCTAATATATGCTAACTTTTATTGCTTTTATACAAATAGACAAGTGCAACTTTTGAATGCGCTAAAACATTTCAAAAATAATTCCATAAATATAGGAACTCAATTCTTAAAATGAAACCATAAAAAACAAAACATACGTGAACAATATATGAAGAAATGAGTGCTTCCAAAATACCGTTTAAGACAACATCGTTAACCGCACAGAAAACAGGTAACCAATTTAGTAAACAATCTGCTATTGCAGAAGATACTTCTACTGGCGCCTAAAAACCCAAAATCTATAAAAATGTAAAGATCAGAAAGAAATTGAAAATTTCGAATATGAAAAAATGACCAATGGAATGGCATCAAACGTTTCCTGCAACAAAGCCATATCATTTACGACCAATTGTGGGACTTTACAACCAATAATACCAAAACACTGATAGGCTATAGCAACAATACCTGAGAACTGAAAAGTAAAAGTAACTTAATAATGCCAGCAAAAATGTTTCCAGCGCTAAAAGCAATCACATACCCACAAATATATCATTTCTCTAATCCAATTATGTTCAGATTTGCTACAACTCTTTGCGAAATAATAGTAAACAATTTGCTACTGTAAAAAATCAACCAGATGTCAAAATGCGACAAAAGTGATGAATACAAAGAGAGAATTTCAACAAATCTGTGAAATTGCAGTTGTCAACGGAAGACTCAAGTTAAGAATTTTTAACTGTGATATGGGATCTAAATAATTTAGTTTCTGCGAAACTGAATAAATTAATTTTAAGAATTAGAAAAATTCTCAACGGACCTCATTCTGTTTAATTAGCTTTCTTATCGAAGAAAATATAATGGGGCCAAACGTTGGCAAAGCATTCGTAGGGAAATTTTTCACAATAAGCAACAAAAAGTCGATGCTTATTTGTTGCAATTTGATAGGTTTATTTTGAACAAAATCGTCTTTCCTGAATAAGCCATCAAATGCCACCTAAAGGACATGAAATATGAAGAAAAAATTAAAATACAGAAAAAAAGTTAAGACAGGAAAAGTAAATGGATTAGCGGAAATAATTTGAAGAAGGAAATTTTAAGCTTTTCAATCTTTCTCTTGGAGTTCGAAAGTTTAGCTGAAAATGGACCTTTCCAAGAACACTTGACAAAGAAAATATATTTTACTCTAATATTATGTGGGAAAGTTTGGACCGCAACAGGAGATTTCATTAATAGAGGCATTAGCTTCAACTTAATGAGAATCGTAGCCGGCAGAACTTTGTCGCTTTCTTCCAGCTTCTGAAAAAAAAAACGTTATGGATGACGTTAAGTTGCATTTAATTTATTTGAGATTTTTTAAATGCATTCTTTGAATTACAAATAATTTTACAACAGAACAGAGAAGTGCCAATAAGTGATAATAGCTAATATAATGAAAGTTACCTGATGCGACAAACCGAGATATAAATTGAACAAACTGTTCACTGTGTCCTTGTTTGTTAGGACTTTTTCCAAATCAATTTTTTTGATAGCAACATCGCCAGCTAATTCAACTTCGCCAGGGCCAAGCGCAATAGCTCCAACCAATAATGGTAAGATCTCGGCTTCAACAAAAACCATTGATGACAACACCTTTATTACAGATAGCTTTAACTGAAAAAGAAAACAAAATGCTAATGTGTGGAAGATTGCTGAAAATATTTCTGTTCAGTCAATACTTTGAAAAAGAACAAGGTGAAAATTTTTTTATTTTAAAAGTTTTAGCAACCCAGAAAAAGTTTGCGGCCTAAAAATATATTAACTAAAAATTTTGATGAATTCCAAATAAGGAAGGAACTTACCGCAGTAATACTAACTTTTGGATCATTTAAAACATTTTTAGCAATTCGCAGAAATCCATTTTTTGACATACATGCATGATCACAAAAGTTATCCAACATAATGGCTACATTTCTATTTTCGTTACTAGAAAACAAATCTGAGAAGGATTTAATGACAATTTGGTGAAAAAAAGAAAGAAAAAAATCATTTTAAAAAAAACAATGCAAAAGATATCGCAAACAATGACACAGTTCTTACAGCCGTTAGTGCATATTTTAAGTATTTCTTGGTTTCGAGACATCCAAGCAGTAACTAACCTTGAGTTCGGAAAATATAGTATGTCCGAAAAAAATTTCAGTATTTCCGACCTAATTATTTTATTTTTTAATGGTTCTAGTGACGGCCATATTTGCTGGTTTAGATCAGCGATATATATCCAAGCACGCGCTGTTAAAACAATAAGCCTATAATTTTTGCTTTTTTGATTAAATGCCGGTCGAAACTTATGCTATCTCTAAAAATACTTTTGGAGAATAGTCTCAATTTAATGACTCTGATGTACGACTTGTACAGTTGGAATATAGGAGATGAAACTCACTGGTCAAATATCTTCCTCTCGTTTATGTATTTCAGCAAACCATCCAAAAGATTTGGAAGAAGAGCAATGTGTTCTTTAGTGTCCACACGATCCAATGCTATTTTAAGGTAAACAATTGCGAAATTCTGCAAACTCAAAAAATTAAACAAATACATATTATGCGCTCTTCATGTGCAAAAATGGTTAGAAATATAACTTCTTACTTTCTATCTGATAATTAATGAACTGGTAGAAAAGGGTGATAGAAAGAAAATAATCCTGTCAGAAATTGAGATACAATAATTGGGGAGGGCTGACAAAGAGCTAATAGGGGGAAAAGGACCGTATATCATTTGGTTATGTTTTATTTTCATAGCTCTCTGAAATATTTAACATACACATTTTGGCTTTAATACTGCGAAAGAAATTACAATCCATACCGTTCCTAAGAAGTTCCCTTGTGTTGAGGATAATACATAATGTAAGATATCCTTCAACGGTAACATTATCATTAAATTGCTTTTAATTCGACGATTTAAATGTATTAACACTTCCATTCCCTTGAAAGAATACATTTTTTCCACATATAACTTGATGAATGAATAGCAACAAGTGATCTCTTTCAAAACCAAAATCAAAATATGACACAATATTATCAAATTTTTCGCTTAGTTAAAGTCTCTGTCAAATGTTATTTATAGGTACCAAAAATCACTTTATTTCGAACTTCAACATCGCCTGTAGAAGTGCATTCTATGATATCCAATAAGTGTTTATGAGTAAATGTTTCCAATTTTGAATCATCGTTGATTAAAGCCAATTGAAGGAAAAGACGTTCCACTAGAACGACAGTTGTTCAGTAAATGTGTGAAATCCGGTGGAAAAAAAAATGTGGAGATGATTTAGAAGGACATAACTACCAAATAAGACTTATTAAATAACTTGTTTCCTGTCAAAATAGGACGGTTTCCTTGTTTTTAATATTTTTTTAATTTTTTTTTTTTTCGTATGCTCATACGTTTTTTTTAAAAAGTATTTTAATATTTTTTCAGTATCTTAAAAAAGATGAAGTTGTACTCGACTGATAATGGGACAAGGGAAACTTAATGATTACATGGTTCCATTATGTCACAAGTTACGTATGAGCATACGACGTAAAATTATACACAAAATTACTCGCACGTAACTTGTATTTTGTTTCACTACAAATATAATAAATGTAAACTAACACTGAAAGCACATTTCGGAGTTTGTCCCAGTAATAACCATATTTATCACACCTAAAATCTTCATAATGTCACTGATTATTCATAATCTCTAACAACTTGATCCGTAAATAAAAAGAATTCTGTCCTTTCAATTAAATCCGACATTATTTTTCCTAGTATCACAATATTTCATTTTAATGAAAATAAGAAACAATTTCAAATGAATCACTGAGTCATCCATCTATTTAATGGCTGAGATATTTAATCACTTTCAAGTCAAGTCAATTCATACTCAACCCACGTTATCGACTAAGGAAACAGCAGTAGTTATATTATCACGCACCACATTACGACCAGATCACTGTGTAAAGAACAATCCCACTGCGCCTTTCTGAACATCTTCCGGAAATGCTCAGGGAGACAGAATATTCTCGGTTTCTGGTTTTCTCGGAATTAATCTTTTCTTTTCAGTCTTCCAGTTTTCTTTGGAGCCTTTTTGTCTAAACATGCATCCAATCATTGCTTCTTCATGATTGCCCAGTAATGACTACACAACTATCTGCTTAGCAACTTTAATCCCAAATTTATGGGTGCGGAGAAACGGATATAGACACCATGCAAGGAGAAGTGAACGTTACATGAACCAATGGCCAACACGCTTCAGCTATCGCTTAATGTGTTAACAGCACATGAAACAGCACAGCACGTGGATTAAACCTTACCAGTAAGTGAAGAATGAATTCAGTAAACTGAGGAAGGTTCTGTCAACAGGTTCACGTATCCAAAACACATCGACACTTTCTTTGTCATTGCCTAACAGTTTACCACACAATATTATCGACTGTTAAAACCAATCATTTCTCTCTCTACTTCCATTTCATATATTCATAAGCTTTCATGAATATTAAAATCTATGCGAACTGTGTTTGCATTACCCAGCAATGAAATATGCTCTCGCTTATTTCAGGTGTCGGAACTGCGATTAATGGGATGAAATCGCTCAAATTATCGGAATTTCTGACTTAAAAATATTAAAGGGTAGGTTCGATATTTATATGATATGAGGTTTCGAAATTAAACGTGGGAAAAAATTCTTCTAGCTGCAAATAATCTTTCAAAACCTTTGCAAACCTTGACTGAGTGAGGAAAATATGCACACTTTCCGAATTAAATAGTTATGCTAAATAGTTTTTGCAAAGAACAGTGTGACTCAAGCGCATAGAATTTAGAAGCGAAAAGAGAATTCTCATGTAAACCATTTGAAAAACTTTTATTTTTGAATAGAAAATTTTGTTTCGAAGAAATTTGTAGAATTGTTTAACCGTCCAATTTATAATGATTTCGAACACTGTAAACATAATAAATACGTCCTGCTGTGATGGAAGACTGAACGTCTTAACACTTTGACATTTTCCGGAAACACGTTATCCAAGTGGAATCTCTAACTTTTAAAAATTTCCCAATGCTACACTTTGGGTACACAATATCATTCGTTTTTGTGTATGCATGAAAAACTGATAAAGAAGGTTTATCTTTACACCTAAACCAGTCACTGGTTTAGATATATAGATAATTAACGAAACATTGAGACTAAAAAACACGTACTCTTCGAAAGAAAATTTATAAAACAGTAATACTTGTATATCACTATAAAAATAAGAATTTTTGAAGAGATAAGAAAACGAAGTATTTCGAGGAAATTTGCAGAATTTCTGAAATTCTCAAAATTGCGAACAGCAACGGCATTGAGTGTGATATAGAAAGAAAGGAGGTCCTTGACGAAAAGCTTGGTGGGCAAAAATTCAAAAGCTAAAGTTAGACCATGAAGGAAAACAAGAATAAGGAACACAGAGGTTATACATAAATACATAGCTAGAATCAAAACTTCCTGCATAAGAAAGAAAAATTCATCGACTTTTTTTGAAAATTTTTCCATAGATATGATACTATTTAAACAGTCTTTCTTTATGAAAGTAGCATTCAATTACTGCACGCATATATTATAGTGAAACGGTTTCAAATTTTTAATTATCATCAGACTTCATGCACTTTATGACTAGACTGAAGCTTTAACTGGTCAATATGCTCGATATTTTTGTAAAATTTCCAGTATATATTTGTAGTAACTGCCTCAATGTCAACTTCTTGCCAATAACTTATGACAAGACATTCAAAGTGAATTTTATAGTGTTGGGCTGCCACCCCTATGAAAAAAGTGAAGGAAGGCAAAAAGCAATACTAAAATTAATGCCAATTACATATTTTCACAAACCTGATTCATTCAGCCACTCGTGAGGAATGTCTAGTAAATCTGATCCTCGTGAAATGTCATAAACGACTTGCTCCTGAGTATTATAGATTTCATCATGAACTGAAATACGTAATCACTACTATAAATTGTAAATCATCTTCGTAAGTCAATTTTAACTGCGTCAGTGTTCCGGTTCTACCAACGCGTAAGTCGCTATCTGTGATTATCAAGTGATATAATTCTACTCAAAAAATGAAAATAACTAGACAGGATAAACAAAAGTAAGATGAATGGAAATGAAAAAGGTAAAAACCTATTTGCATTCTTGCCACAGCATTCACAGCTTTACAATACTTTTCACTGAAACTATCCAAATTTTCCAGTTTCTTTGAAACATTGATTCCATCAAAAAATTCACGCAACGAATTATCTTCTTCTGCATTTCCATTATTCAATTCCATGCAAATACCTGTTGTTAGATTTTCCCCATCTCGTGTCAATTTCTTCATTGCCAAATTGAAATTGTAATTATCTTCATCAATAGCTTCTAATAAATTTTCAACACTTTTCTCAATTTCTTGTTCAACTCTTCGAAGCTTTTCATTCGACAGTTTAGTCTCTTGTAAGTTTTTCATTGACACATCTGTTCCAAATATCGTTTCAACAGAAACTCTGTTTGTATCTTTTTTGTCCAATTTTTGTACAGAATCATCAGCTCTATTTAATTCTTGGTTCTGATCATAATGGATTCTGCACTGTAGTATTTCAACATCAAAAGCACGATCATTAGCTAATCCAATTCTAAAAATGCTGCATTTCATGTAGAAATAACATTCAACAATCGCTGTTTTAACACAGACACCAAAATTATGTTATCATATAGGATAAAAGACGAATTCTTTTTCGAATTTTAGTAGAGAATTATTAGCTTACTGAAATACTTCTTGAAAACAAAAAAAAGTTGTGGACTGAGAAACAAAACCGCCAAGATACCTGTTCCGAATAACTGATGAAGCTAGTGCAGATAATTTATTTTCGTCGATACATTCATTAGTTTCAGTCCTTATTAATATATCACTGAAACTCGATACACTGAGTCGTTCAAGTTCTTCAATCTGTTTTTGTGACAATTTCACTGATAGCCCGATAACTTTAGAAAACGACAACTGAGAAAGAAAATCACGTATTTCATTAGGACTACTGTGGTCGGAATATTCAATATAACACATCCTTTCGTCACTGGAAATTTAATTAACGAAATACGTGATTTGGTAGTAATTATGGTAAAATTTCTATTTCCGAATCTCCGAAAATATTTCTAAATTTTATTCCAGACTTTTTTCAAAAGATACATCGTGACAACGATTTAGTCGACAGACTATAGAATGATGTCATCAATTTGATTAATACTACTTTAGATCACCGTTAGATTTCCGTTTTTTCAGAATCATATATATTAGATATATAAATACACAAACATAAAAATGTTTTTATCGTTACTTAATGATTGAATTAGGCTTGATATATTGTAGCATTGAGACATCGATGACATAAACATTCGGATCGTAGAAGACTGAACGAATATCTCTGAATTTAAAATCGAATAAATTTTATACGTATTAGTAATTACTCTATACGGCAACCAGTCTCGCACAACTTCATCTTGATTCAAGAGTTATAGTAATTTAACTGCATGATAATTTCATCTTAATCATTTACAATTTCTTATACCCACTGAATATTTGACTGATTCACTTAATTATTGTTTAGGATCTCACTACCAACAGATGAGTTTGCAATAACTTCACTTACTGTCTTGTGCAGGTCCAAATAGAAGTCTCTTTCTTATTTGTTGTGAAATATTCACTTAATCCAAGAATTTCGGCTACTTGAAAGCGAATATAATCAACCCATATCTTGCACTGCAAAAGGCGCCAGTATGCAAACGGTAACAAACATTTTAACCAACACGTTACAGGACTTCTTAAACAAAATTTTAAAAAATTAAGATTAGTAACATGTGTAATTAATACCTACTTTGAATTCGACAGCTATATGAACAAGCAATTGCTCTCGGCCAACTTTCGGAACCATAATCGTTACCGATTTAGAACCATCCAATAACTTACGCAAAACGTTGCACATTTCAGCTGATGAAGCTTCGCGACTAGGAAATTCTTCTCGTATGCAATTAATGTATGTAGTATCCAAATAAATTGTGCTAAGGTTTCTCTAGATATGTAAATAATATTAGTATTAATATAATAATATTATTATTAGTAAAAATAATTATAATATTAATGATATTAATAGTAGTTATTATATAATAACATATTAGCTAATAATATAATAGCAGATATAAATCTGTCTTCAAATAAACTGCTTTTAATACAGAATAAGGGATATGATTCTACGCAAATTTTATGCTTCCACATTACTCATTACTAAGAAAGAAAGAAACTGCACTACCAAGTTTTGGCTTTAATTAATACAAATGAGATACTTTCAGTCGAACACATTCATACGTAAAATAACTTTCAAATTTAAATAACCTCTCGCAAAACTGATGCCGTCAATACATTTTTATAAAGTTGAATATCAGCTCGAAAATCGCCTGTAAAAAGAATTCGACCCTCCGATATTCGATCACCTTCAAAGAGAAACATGACAGAACCCGGGATATGATTTGCATCTAACAGCATCACTGAGAAGCCATCCATATAATGCCAAACATTTAGGTCCAGGGCATGAATTATATGGCTTCTGATTCCACCACATTTCGACTTATGTCGCTGAGTAACGATCGGGAG